AAGTATCAATTGCGTTGTTAGACTTAAAGGGTGTCAATCTAAAATATCAGTCAGAAACAACTTAAACAAACATGAAGAAATACTAGAAAAGTTTAAAAACATAGAAAAAGAGTCATTAGTGGTAAGAAACGACATGACTACATTTCAGCAGTATGCCTTTTCACTGCGCAAACGCCAAGAAATGAAGCACATACAAATAAGAAACATAGCTAAAGGTAGCGGACGACGCCTAAAGTGTGAGGAATTTCCAGAGCTACCCATTTGTTTAGAGTATGTATTCGGTGAGGGTGACAGAATTCACAGAAGTGGCGGGGGATTGGAAGCACATCCAAAACTACTGGATACTACTTTATATAAAGCACTGGACAATGCAACGTCGATGAAACAAGCTAAAGACTTTATTTCTGCTTTAAACCCAAATGTGAAAGTGTCGCTATCAACTTTGTATAATTATACAATGAATTACAAAAAAGGTACTCATCAAGCCAAAGCACATCATCACGTCAGAGGTATAACAGCTAATATATCTTTACACAAGCCGCCAAATACGGCTGAGATTAAACACCCTATAAACGCGCACTGGTCTACTGCTAATGTAAATTATTTAGTCGATTTAAGTGCTGAAAACCCCGACTCTCATCTTGTGGATTCTAAAGATGCAAAATGTGTTGTGTGCGGAGACATTGATTTGGTGTTGAGACCAGGAAAGTCTTGGCAGACTTTTGAGACCCCTGATCATACATTTGATCAGTCACGAAAAAATGCTATTACGCCAATTTCCCACCTTCTCATGGAAACAAAAGTCAGTCAACAAATTACTACAAATGATGATGTCCATTGTCCGGTACCTTGCACTGAGAGTACAATACATCTAACAAGAACTGGACAGGCCATTACGCTAATAAATATTTCATTCTTCGAGCCAGAAACTGTGTTCCGAGTCTTTAATGAATTTTTCTATCTTCTTTCCTTACCTTCATTGGATGCTTATTTTCGTAATCCTAAAACAGGAAAGTTAAAGGAAGTTATAAGTTTCGTTGTTGACAATGGACCATCAGAAGCTCCGTCAAATCTCTTAGTAAAGTTGCTTCTCGTTCGCCTCAGAAATCTTTTAAACGTCGACAGGGTTACTCAAATTTCTTTTGCCGAGTATCTTAGCAAGAGAAATTATGTAGAACGAGTACATGCCGTGGAGAATAACCTTTTATCGGCTCACGGTCCTTTTAACTCAAAACAGGTTCATAGTGTATGTGATACTGGTAGCGAAAAGCACAAAGAGAACATGGAAAAAATGGCACAAGGCGTAGTTAGCTGTTTAAACAAAGGATCGTTTGGTCAAAGGCCTCTATTGTGCTTTAGAGGCATTGCTGATCAAATGCTTTTCGACGACGAAGATGTCCTTAAGACGTTTGCTGCATTGTCCGATTACCGCAAACAAACTTATGATGTAACCTATGCTCCAGTCAATAACGCTATCATGAGCTATTTAGAAAATGTATGGGGGTTTAACAAAGGTTTTGTTGGCAGTTATTCATCAGATTATAAAACCTTACAAGAATATGCTTATTGCGATAAATACTCGACAACCGTATATAGGGATGACGAAAACTGGACAGGAACTACATTACCAAGGTATGAGCGTCAACCGATTCCAGACTATCATAGGTGGATTATATCTGGAGAATATCATTACTTGTCATATGAGCAACGTCGCAATCTTCTGCATGGTCCTTGGGACAACTGTCCTGAGCTTTTCCTACCTGAACGCATACTAAAAGCTTGTTTTAGAGCTTTCCCAAATCCTGCATCCGATATGATTAGTGCAATTTCTTTACTGGCGTGGGTCTCTGAGAAAGACGTTCAATGATTCTACTCGGAGAAACACCAAAGTTTAATGAAGACGAATGTGGACGATATTGAAAAGGAGAAATGGAGAAAACATTTCCTGTATAAGTTAAGCAAAGAAGAACTGATGTCAAAGTGCATTGAGAAAAAACTCGACTCGACTGGAAATAAGGTAAATATGGTGAGGCGTCTTTCACTGGTTTATCCTTCTGAAGAGCTTGACAACAACCCATTATTGTATGACGGTGATTTGATGTCAGTTCCTGGTAACATTGCTGGTCTCAATCGATTAAATGTGGCTCAGTTAAGAGAAATTTTAAGACACCACGGAATTCTCGAGGATGGAGTGAAAGAGGAGCTTGTTCTTCGAGTTGGGCTACTCAAAGGTGGTAGGGAAAAGGCAGCTTTCTCACGGGAACGAATTTCTATTATTCAGGCAATATCATTTGCTGAAGAACTATTTACCGTTACCAAAACGTTATCAACTGAACGAATCTGTCGTGTCCGAGAATATTCAAGATGCAACGAATCCCACTACCGAATGAGAAACAAACCTTTATTGTCTATTTATCAAACACGAATTAGTTCATCTGCCCAAAACAGTGAATGTATAAAGAAGGAATTTGAAGCAACCCTTCAGCCTTTAAAACAAGCCGTGAAGAGTGACAAAGAGGCAGCAACAGTTGCACACAAACTAGGCACTGATGACAAACCATATGTAAACAAACAAACGAGTTTGCCCAAGGAAAAAAACAACACTAAAGGAAAGTCCGATAAATTATCAGTTCCAAAATCTGTCAGGCTAGCTTCTGCTACAGGTAAAACAACAGACGAATTTGCCAAAGTCAAACAGTTGCTAACAAACACTGGAACACAAGTGGAAGTGTATTGGTCGGATGCAGAATTAACTGGACCGAACTGGTATTTGGGAGAAGTGCAATCATACGATGAAGATGAAGATATTATACATGTCATGTATGAGAAAGAGAAAACCCACTTGTATAGTATTTGCATCATGGCAGGACTATTAGAAGGAATTATTCGCCCGGTTGGATAGTGTGCAGATAAATTTTTAACAAAAAGAATTCGAATTTACTGTTTTGAGACCCAAGACGTTTGGTTTACAAGCGGTACAAAAAAGCAACGGTGTTTGTGTTCACAAGAAGCCGCCAAGTGCTCCGTCACGCCGGAGCGATTTGAAAACTGCGTAGAAAAGTCTCAAGTAGCCATATTGCTTTCACACTACGCTGGAGCGAAATCGTTTGGAAACTGAAAATGTCACTTTTGCCTAACAATTTGAGTAGGGTTTCTAAACGGAGGGAGATGAAAACCTCTGTTTTGACAGCTTCTTGTGAACACAAGCATCGTTACTAGTGTACTGCTTGCAAAAACTTGAATGTTTTTCAGTTAATTTTCTTGGCTCAATTATTTGAAATATTTTGGGTTTACATGAGTGCTAATTTATTTTGTAAACAAACTGTAAATAGTGTAATGTGAATACACGTAAATTCTGTCGGTATTCTTCGGCGTAGTGTCAATGTAGTCTAATTTTTTTCGGCGTCGTAGCTTTTAAAAAAATTTGGAAATAGTGGATGTCCGAAGGGGGGGAGGGTTTTTTTTCGATTTCCGTATGGATCTTTTCTGGAACGACCCATTATAAGTAGAATCATCTGGGGTAAATAGAGTAAAATACAGGTGTGGGTACATTGCCAGTTTATACTTTTAACAAGCTACAATCCTAGAAAAAAACACTCGGGCAAGCACATGGAAAAGGTGTCTAAATATAATTGCAAATGCTTATCCCCTCACGCCTAAAACAATGTTGATGAGATGGGAATGTTTTCAGTGATACATACATAATAAAGTAAACACCATTATGCTGGGGGAATGGGGATTAAGAGTTTACTTACATCTTCTAATAAATAATATCTTGCAGCTAAGGTGACGAACTCAATTTAGACCAAGTTGTAGGCGTGAGTTTTGTCTATAATCTCTTGTTTGCATGGCCTTGGTGTGGGTACAATGTTCTTTGGAATATTGGCAGGCATTGTTGATTTCTTGGGTTTTTTCTTGACATACGTGAAGGAAAAACATCTTCCATTAAGTTTTGGATAAAGGAAAAGGATTTTCTGGTTATAACTGGTTTTGCAACCCATTTCTCTCTGCCTTTTGGAAAAATTTGTATCTCTTTACCCTCTTACTTGCTTCCCTTTTGAACTGTTGCTTCCTTCCAGTGTAGATGTTGTGGTCACTCACTGCTAATTGTGTTCTGGCCACCATGCCTTTGTATGAAAAATGACGACAGAATATACTTTAGTGAATGGTATACTTAAAGGTCGCCTGTAAGACGAAATTCTGTGAGTTTTTCAATATCTTTTAAAAGTTTTTTATTCGGAACCACCTCTTCTGGTGTATTGTATGCTGCAGACCCATCCTCTAACCATTTTGTCTTCCTTTCCTTTGTTCTAGAGAGATGACCATGTTTGCACTTTCAAAAACACTCACCATTTTTCCATCTGTGTTTGGTCGCCGAAAAAATTTAGCCCCCCCCAGAACGAAATCTGTTCCGCCGCCGCTGTTTCCTATGCTTTTTGCTTGACAATGTGTTTGTTCTTTTGGTATTGTATACTGATCTGTGGCCAAAATGAAGCCACAGAACAACTCTTAAGGCAAATGTTCATCTTTATTGTTTACATTATTGTCAGTTTACAACAGATACAATTGCACCGCCAATAGCAGTCTATGTCTTTCGTATATTGCAAAAATGGCGACGCAAGTTTAGACTAATCTAATCTGTGTATTTTTACCCATGGCATACTTCAACAAGTAAATTTATCCTTTTATTGTGGCATAGTCATATTTACAAACATTAAGCTTGGTTTTAAATTGTTATTTTTTAAATTTTAATTTGTGTTTTGAAAGCCCATTTGCAACTAGGTTTAGACTGTGATGTCATGAAGTTTCCTATCCAATTATTTTACAGTCCATGGTATAATGATCAGTTGACAAATATCTTATATGGAACATTTTGTTGAGTGACGCTTCACAGCCTTCATTCCCCCACAGGAAAATTTTTTGGAAAACCATTATTGTGATTTACAATGGAAATTAAGCAATTCCCATTGTAAAAAACCAACAATGGAAAAGTGGAATTATATCCATTAATGGATCACATACATTCTCCATTAAAGGATTATGGTATTACCCATTGATGGATATATGGTATTATCCATTCATGGATATGATATTACTCATTCATGGATATGATATATTACCCATTCATGGATATGATATTACCCATTCATGGATATGCTATTACACATTCATGGATATGATATTGCCCATTCATGGATATGATATTACCCATTCATGGATATGCTATTACTCATTCATGGATATGGTATTACACATTCATGGATATGGTATTACCCATTCATGGATATGATATTACCCATTCATGGATATGATATAACTCATTCATGGATATGATATAACCCATTCATGGATATGATATTACCCATTCATGGATATGATATTGCCCATTCATGGTACGTTTACTGTACGTCCACAACACCCAATAATTAAATGGAAATTAAGCAATTCAATTGTAAAACCCATTTAATATATATTTATTTATATCATAGTGTACTTTCCAATGTCTACGGTATCCAAATTTTCATACTGTATCTGTGGTATCAGATAAAATACTTCTTCCAAAATATAGAACGTAAAGAGATAACAGTACACAATGTTTTTTTAGCAACATGAACAAATATGAAGAGAAGTACATCAAACGGTTGTATAAAGAGCAATGACATTTACAACTTTTGCAGTCTTTTCACCATACATCTTACTATACAATCTCCTGGCTCAGAGGTTACTTCCACAATCTTTCTATCGATCAATTCAGGTGCCAGCTTCCTAACAGCATTGTCCTTGCTCATGGTACTAGGCACACTATGCATATATTTTTTTGGTAATGGAGTTATCCAGCTTCTCGGGACATCAGAATACTTAATTGCCCCAAATGCAACTGTCACAATAATCCTACAATCTTCAAGAGAAAGCTCATTTTCCTTCTGGTGGCCTATTGACAAAAAACAGTAGTTTTCTTTGAAGCTGTACACAGGGTGTATTACAAAAGCACCCTATTGTGCATAAATTACTTGGTAAACGTAATTTTTTATATTAAAGATCAGGCTTTTAGCTGTTGAATGACACATTTTTCATACCATTTGGAGGAAAAATGAGTAAATACGAGCTTGGAAGCCAGTTTTGACACATTCGTGAAAACTTACGTGAAAAATTAGGCGCAGGGGTGATAGAATTCGATTTTGATCAAGATTTTCAGTCGAGCTCGTATTTATTCATTTTTTCTCCATATTGCACGCAAGCAGAAAATTCTGTCCGCCACAGCTGGGTTTCGAAAATTCTGCTTGTGGTGGGCAGAATTTTCTCCGTGCACGTGGTGGACATTATGAAATATTTCACTCGAGAACATTTTCTCCTTATCATATTACTGAGTGAACATCGACGCAACACATCAACTGAGTGAACATGTACAAATTTTTCATTCCTTTAGCAAGTTCGAAATGATTTGTTTTTAGATGACATATTGTACTTTGCATAGAATATGCAAAACATTTTATTATGCAGAACATTTTATTAAAGCTTATATACTATGTACCACAAATGGGTTAATGCAAATACTTAGTCAATAGCATGTATATATAAAAATATGCCGACTCAATACTCTTCCAATAAATAATCCTTTATATATAGTTAATAATTTGACACATGCACACAATGCATTTGAAGGTGTTGCATACATGCCCAGACTACTTCCTATTCAAAACAATGAGCACCCTAATTAAAATCAATAAGTATAAAATTTAGATTACTACACAATTAATTATCTCACCGATGTATAATCATATCCATTCCTTACACTTCGTCGCCTTTCGTTCATGATGTCTATAATGTGCTGCCGAATTGCTGCTTTGTCAAAGCCAACAGTCTCAAATATGCAATCATCCAGTTCATCAACAAGAGCGTCCAGTTGTTCTGTTTCTTGCTTGTTCTTTCTGAATATAGGAATATTGTTGCCAGGCCATTTCTTGATGGCTGCAGCTCTAACAGCTTTCTTCCTAAAATTAAAATGTAACTTAATTAGACATCTAGATATAATATAATGCAACTGTCATCAGAAACAGAGACGAATTTTCATATTTTTGTTCGGGGTGGGGGGGTGGTGGTGGATAAATATCTGGGGGGTGCTGCTGCTTGCTTTGGCCGGGGCGTGGTGGCAACGCCCGGAAAAAGTTTAACAAAATCTGTTTTCTAGGCCTGCATGGCGAGATGTGAGACCATAATATTGGTAATTTTACAAATTTAGTAGTAAGAATTAATAATCAAATCAAACTATACATTATTTGTGGGGGTGCAAAAAGTTTTGGGGGTGGTGCCAAATGCCTCTGCAGGGGTGCAAATCATTTCTGGGTGGGGGGGGGGTGCGCAACCCCTCTCCCCCAGATCTGTGCCTGATCGGAAACACCCACTTGGGAAACTCATTACTCATGGAGGATTAGACTGCTGAAGAAATGAAAATGCCACACCTATTGCTTGTTTGCAATCAAAGCCAACTTGGTTGATTTTTCAAAACACACATGCATGGCAACTATAAAATTTTATTTCATATTCTTCATTTTTTGTCGTTTTGAGCCAATATAAAGACCGTAAAACTAGCAAAAATACAAAAAGATATGTCAAAACAAGCCAGAAAATATTAAATTAACTCCACTACTTAACTAAAATATCAGACAAGGTGGAAAACTATTTTTCAGGTGAGCATCTTCCTTCAAACCTACACTCCCCATCCCAGAGAAACATAGAGCATAGAAATCTGAAAATGAGAGAGACTGGGATCAACTCTTTCATGCTAAAGCATGCAAGCTGCATGTGTTATAGATTAAATATTTCTTGTTTTTATTCTCTCATTTTCTGATTTCTTAATGCCCTATGTTTCTCCGGAATGGAGAGTGTACTTTTGAAGGGAGATGCTCACCTGAAATAGTTTTCCACCTCGTCTGATATTTTTTACACCTCATTATAAACAATGGATCATATTGACCAATAATTCTGAAGTTCAAATAGCACCATTACAACCCAATTTCCTGATCCCCATGGTGGCAGGAGCGCCCTATGTTGATCAAGCTTCCAAATATGCCTCTGTCAATAACAATCTCTATATATAGTTTTTTTTTTGTATTTCGATTTTGCTGTATAAATGAAGAAACATTTTTTAAGACAACGGTTTCAATTTATATAGTTGTATTGGCTAAAAAAATGTTGCTTGCTAGGTAACACATTTATAAAAAAATACTTACACAGAGGACGATCTCAAAAAATGCAAATATAAACCCATCCTGCCATCACTTTTCTAGTGGTCCGTCACTCTAATGACATAATATTAATATAAAATCTATGCCAAATAGATTTGTGGCGAACCAACAATAAAACTGCAAGATGAATATCTGCCACACAAATATACAGGGTGAAACACAAGGATTGTTAATGGTTAAACCTTAACCGGTACATCACATATCAGTTCTCCATTTTTAATATGTTACTTATTGTACTCCACACTGAACACACTTACTTCGCATTATATACGCGTTTGTTTACTTCGGTGCATTCTTTTAACTCCTTATTTGATGTTTTTTTTCGGGAGACCACAATAGTTACAGGGCTTTCCATTGTTTTTTTGACATCCAGTCGGGAGATGACAAGTCGCTGAAATTTAAGTTGTGAACCTACTGTATTCAGTCCACAACGTTCAAGCTGAGAAGTTGTCCCTTTGGTTGCAAGTAATTCAATGGCAAAGCCGTCAATCTGTTGGTCTACAGATGTAAAAAATATTTATGTGTATTATTATCGAATCCTGATGTCAATTGTTAAAAGATAGACTGATGAAAATACGTTTATAAAAGCGACATATTTATTTTATACGTAAACGGGCACACGACCGAAGTCAGTTCAGACACAGTACCTCCACATTTTGTTGCGACTTCTTCCCCAAAATTTTTTTTTATCCAGTCCAATACATCTTCTTCAGTCATACTCTGAAAGTCAGACATCTTACATATAAAATGCTATACTACTTTAAATCTTCTTTATTCCTTGCTGCACAGTTTTCATGCTTCGGTGCTTCTTCTTCGATTGCTTATTTTGGACCTTTTGGCGCCTTTTCTAGTTTCCGTTCATGTGACACTAAATCGAAATATGATTGGCCGTGTGTCATCACATTGCAGAGCACACAGAGCTGGAATTTGGCAGGAATATTTGACAGATGTTTTCATGTTTGTTTTCGTGCTGGCAATGTACTATTAATCAATTCAACTTTTTAAAATATTTTTAATTGTTATGGGATAAAACTGTTGGCTCTGTCATACCCCATAAAATGCTTGGGGCTGCTGAAGCAGTCAGGAACATACGTAGAGGCGCATGGCATCTCATGTTTAAACACTAGCTGTTGGTATTTGTTACTTTTCTCTGTACTAGCTACAGCAACACTTATGATATTTTGTTGTTTCAATAGAACTAAAAGATGGAAGATTACCTACAAACATTGACACACATGTAAATGCTTGGAAAGCAGAAGAATTCCAAAAATTTGCATTCCCTGCTATGGAGGTTGTGATGAGTGGGCTTATGGATGAAAGAGAGTTTCACATTTTCCAACTAATGGCGAGAATGGTTGAGATGGTTTTTAACAAACGTGATGAATGGGATCACGATGATGTCTTTTTGTTTGGGAAATTGGCAAAACGATTCAACATACTAATTGAGGAGAACGTTGGTTTGCATGCCTGTGTTGTAACAGTGCACAATTTAATCCATGTTGAAGAGGATGTGTTCAGGTTTTCACTTCCAGACAACTATTGGTGCTTCGCTTTTGAAAGAGCGGTTAAGAAGTACATTAGTATTCCCAACAATCACAAAAATAGTGAATGCTCATTTGCCAAGGTAATCGTTGGTGTGACCATACTCAGTTCGGCTTTGATTTTAGCGTTTCTGCGTGTTAAACCGTCAAACTCAACATTGTTTTGTTAACCAAAATTATACCAAGTGTTTTGCTACCAATGGTTAAAAATGTGTTAAACATAAGTACTGTTTTACAGTTTTTGGCTTTGGTCATAATAGGTATACCCTGGCTACAGCTACGCTATAAATTATTTGGACATCATTTTATTATTTTTTCTTAGTCGTTTAAATAAAATTTTCTGTTTTAGATGGCTGCCAAAACCATAACTGAAGCCAAAAGGCTGGCCAAGAGTTTTGGAAATTCGCTGAATCATGCGACCAGCTGCAATGAAGGAATCCTTGTCGGCGGACTGAATTCCAATGGAGTACTTCTAACAAAAGAAGATCAACAACTTATTCTTACTTGTATGCAAGCATCTGGCCACGTTGAAGAAGTAAATATAGCATTTCAATTCCGGAGTCTCTTCAAACCACTTCAAAGTGTTGATGGTGTTCTTTATAGAGTCGACGAAGATATCGATCATTTATATAACATCTAATAATGTGGAAGAAGTGGCACGAGTCGAAGCGTTTTTATCTGTCTTACTTAGTGGAAGTTACTGCACATTAGCAAAGATAAAGCTGTACCAAAAGCTTGATGATGAAGACATGTTAGGTGAACTTAGAAATGGTGATAAAATTGTCGAAATATCAAATGAAATTGCCGTTATTACTGCCACATGTATTTATCGAAAGGTGATGTTGTACCCACGTCCCGTCGATGATATGGACACCTTTGCTGTTGTAGATTTTGAAAGACCAAACTTACCAATAAACTTTGCAGATATTACTGTACCATTTTACCCCATGGTGAATGACATTGTTGTTATTAGAGGGGAAAATGACGAGGTTTGGGTCGCAAAGATCCTCAAAGTATACACTGAAGAAAAAACTGTGAAAGTGTGGTACTACAGAGAGCAAGGACATGAATTGTTTGTACCAGAAGTTTCCTCACAATATGCATTAGACATTGTCAACTGGGACTCTATAGTTCATCTTGTTCCAGGAATGTATATATATATATATACAGTCCTGCAGGACCCGCATGCAAAATATTCATTAGATTAAAAAAATCTGATAAAACACGAACTACGAGTGATTAAAGTGTTTAAAATATATATGAACCACCTTAGTAGTAATAATAAATTGAGAAAATGAACATGAAAATTTAGGTATTAATTAACAATGATTTCTATCACATCAATTCATTTGTGGTTTGCTCATTACCTGTAATTTAATTCGCTCAATGGTTCAGTAAACTCAGTTATGGAATTTGTCTCAATGAGGCATTTTGTAAATACAGTAATGGACTCTGTAAACCCAATGATGGATTCTATAAATCCAACAATGGATTCTGTAAACCCAATGATGGGTTTTATAAACCCAATGATGGATTCTATAAATCCAACAATGGATTTTGTAACTTCCAATGATGTGTTCTATAAATCCAACACTGGATTGTGTAAATCCAATGATGGATTCTGTAAACCCAATGATGTATTCCATTTACCCAATGATGGATTCTGTTAACCCAACAATGGTTTCTAAATCCAACAATGGATTTTGTAACTTCCAATGATGTGTTCTATAAATCCAATGATGAATTGTGTAAATCCAATGATGGATTCTGTAAACCCAATGATGGATTCTGTTTACCCAACAATGAATGAATGAATGAATGAATGAATGAATGAATGAATGAATGAATGAATGAATGAATGAATGAATGAATGAAAAACTTTATTTTACAAGGGTAGCACATAATAGTGAATTCACACTAACAAACCTGTGGCCCTCAGATACAATAAAATATTACAATAATACATACTAGATTAACTAAACAATATATATATATATATATATATATAAATAAGATTTCTAAAATACAAAATTAGTAGTTTGAAAATATTGTAGTAAAAGTAGTAAAATGTTTATGTTCTTTCTGATATTCTAAAAATATATTAATAATAGACCATTTAAATGTTTTGGCTGATGCAATGGATCTTATGTTCAGCGGTAAACTGTTCCAAAGTTTACTTGTGCATGTTGAAAACCTTTTACCACCCTCAGTTAGACGATAATATTTCGGCGTTCTAAATAACAGTCCTGCACCACGTGTGGAACGAGAGTGCACTTCGCTATTCAAAACCAGCAAATCTTTAGATATTCTGGTCCCTCACCATTAATACATTTATGTGCCAACATGCACCTCCTGATATCTGATTCGACATAAAAAGGAATCCAATTAAGTTGATTGAATGCATCAATAGACGGATGCCGTGGTTCCAAATTTAAAATTATTCTAGCGGCACGCTTCTGAAGCTTGAAAAGTTTCAATATGTTGTCTTGTCTACAATTAGACCAGACAACACTACAGTACAATGAACAACGGCTTGATCATTGCATTATAGAACAAGACTCTTTCAGGAATTGGAAGATACGATAGATCCAGTAGATCCTCAAACAGAAAGCATGGACCGCAACCCAGGCCATCCGAATTGGCACAGTATTGTCACGTCTCCCATAGCCTGCGTAGCGGCTGTCAGAGAAGGGACAGCCTGCACGAAACCCCATGCTAAACCGTATTTACTCGTTCTCTCAGAGGACGAGAAATCTGATTGGTTCAAAATGAAAAAATATGCTAATGTATGCTAAAATTATACAAACTCTTTCAGGAATTGGAAGATACGAGCTGACTCGCTTCAAAATTCCAAGTCGCTTTGAAATTTTCTTTGAAGTAGAATTAACGTGATTGTCAAACGACAGTTCTGAATCAACTCCCACACCCAGAAGTTTAGCGTTACTCACTTGAGAAATGTTTGAGCCATTTAAGTTAATATCAATGCCTGTGGCAAAATGTACAGTAGAACGTTTCCCACCAACAACCATAATCTTCGTCTTATCCACATTCAGTGGTAAATTATTTAAAGTTGCCCATTCATCGACATTTGCCATTTTCCTTTGTACCTTATTTTGCAGCTCCTGAATCTGGTCTCGATCACTAGATGCAATAACAATGGTATCATCCGCAAATAAGTCAGTTTGTGATTGAGTGTATAAAGGAAGATCGTTAATAAAAATCAGGAACAAGAGAGGGCCAAGAATTGACCAATGATGGATTCAATGATGGATTCTGTTTACCCAATGATGGATTCTGTTAACCCAACAATGGTTTCTAAAATCCACCATGTAATTTTGAAATCCAATAAAGGGTAATACGAAACCCATGATGGTTTTCTCAGACAATCATGGATAATAAAAAAGATTATCCAAATCTATTATGTGTTTTGAAAAATCCATTATCAGGTTTAGAAAATCCATAATGGATTTTATAAAACCCATAATGTATTTTGTAAATCACAATAATGGTTTTCCATAAAATTTTCCTGTGCCCATTGCATTAGAGGAAGAAACTTCCCAGACTTGCACAAGAGCAAAATCTATAATCTTCCCTGAATCTTTGTCCATTAAATTGTTTTTCATATGCATTGTTGATCACTGGAAAAACAATCTTATCCTGCACATCATAAAATTGGTCTTTATTAACAAACTTCCAATTAAGTGCACTAGATCCATAGGATCCCCCAGTGATGACAGTAGCAGCAGGAATCAAAACGTTACTAGCTGGCTTGTTATCTATATCTCTGATTGTGATCTCCAGTGAAAGATATCGTTGTTATAACTGTTGCTTTGATTGTTACTGTGCTACCAGTGTTAGACTTTTCAATCTCACATAGAGAGAACCTCACATGTCACAGTTGATAAATAGCTGATCAAGCATACTTTCAAATTACAAGCATAATTTAATTTTTTAGTTCTTCCTTGTCAGACTCAGCATTGGTGTCTAATTCTGAGCAAATATAATCGTCATCACTATCTGATGATGTGTCATCCTCGTTAACTACTGCAAATGTTCACACAGTCTGTTCAGAATCAGATATAGTGTCATGTTTGTGTCTGTTTGAAGGAGAGTTGACAAAAGGATTATTGCAATACAGAGCACGGATAGTCGATGACGTTTGTCCTTTCGTCTCCATCAGTGTTTAAGGAGGAGTAAGAACTGGACAACTGTTATTTATATTGCGAACAGTAGCAGATTTTTTTAATTTTTAGATTTATTTTACGTTGGGCAAGTGTTTGTGAAGCAATACTCCCATTTTAATATTTTTTGAAACTGGACCTCTGCATTCAACAAGATCTTCAATTCAGACAGTGTTTCTGCATCCTTACATGCATTAGCCATTGCATGCTCTTCGCTGTTTATTGTTAGTAGGCTTGCTACTTCCTGCAAAGAAATCCACGTTTTATGCCACTTTTGAATTAAAATAGTCCAACCCAGTGGACCATTTTAATTCATTACTAAAGTACTTATGGATCGAATAGTAAATATACTAATAAATCCTCCCCCTGCACTCATGTTAACACATTAAGTGGCAATGCGCCCTGAGATTGGCAAGGGTGTAAGCAGCAATGTGCCCGCATGCACCCTGAAATGACACCTTAGCTTGCAGGCATGATTACTAAGCATGTGTTGATCGGGTTGCCTAGCAATGGATACGAAAATAGACACACACAAGTTTTCCCCACTTCATCTATTTATACTTCTTCATCAGAGTCCATTCCTGCAGCTCCAGTAGATCCAGTAGATCCTCAAACAGAAAGCATGGACCGCAACCCAGGCCATCCGAATTGGCACAGTATTGTCACGTCTCCCATAGCCTGCGTAGCGGCTGTCAGAGAAGGGACAGCCTGCACGAAACCCCATGCTAAACCGTATTTACTCGTTCTCTCAGAGGACGAGAAATCTGATTGGTTCAAAATGAAGAAATATGCTAATTTATGCTAAAATTATACAAACACGGCGGATGTATTATTATTGAGAGGCGTTTCTTTGAGTTTTGCATTCAAAAGAGCTTAAAAGGCTACAATTTACGGTTGAACAATAAAGGTATTTACGAACTTGGTTCACGAAGCTCTAGAGATATTGACTGTGGTGTCTTCATTGGATTGATGTCTGTTAGCAGCGCCTCTTTCACAAGCGTGTTCGTTTTAATCAATTCATCGACGACAAATAGATTTTTTCTTCATGATTTTGTAGCTAATAATTTTGTGCCAGGAGAGAATTGCTGTAAATGCTTATGTCTTATGAACAGGACTTGCTCTCTCTGAAGTGATGGCTTTAGACACCTTTAATATTCTCTTCTCTGCATCGCCCGAAACTTTAACATTTAATACATCACGGTTGACCGCTGTCGAAACTATAAATTATATTTGTAGGTTACTTGTGCGAGAAAGCTACGAAATATCGTAGATACAGATTGCAAACTACTTGTGACAACGATGAAGATTGCCCTAGGCCTAGCGCTATTCCCACAGACTTCAATTTTCTTTAGACATCCGTATATTATTTCGTTTAGAAATTTGCGAACATACAGCAATCTATATTTCTATTTCATTTTGACAAGTACATTTGCAACGTAAACAATCTGTGTGATTGGCCAATTTTGACATCTGTTTAAAGTGGGCATAGCCCGCAGGCTAGGTGGGCGGAAATGGTTTGGCATGGGGTTTCGTGCAGGCTCTCCTTTCTCTGAGCTGCTATGCAGGCTACATCTCCCACAATTAAACTAAGAAGATCAAGTAGAACGATCAAACCACAGAAAAGGCTTATCAAACCAAATTTAAATATTTAATTCATTAGGATATTTGCTTAAGTATTTTGTATTTACAAGTTAGAAATATATTAGTTATTTTATTTAGCAAAATCTGACAGCATTTACACCAAGCGGAGAGGTATTATGGTATTAGATTAATATATACATTTACTACATGAAGTACTGGGTAGGAGCCCACAGTCTACCATTTTATTATTTAGTTGAAATTTAGTGTGTTTTTGTTTGTTTTTTTATTTAAACACATTTGAAATGATTTTCTCCAAGAGCTGAAGCTCATCAAGTAAGATCATGACATATTAATTACTGTACAGCACTTGACACTTTAAAAAAAAGACACGCAAATAAAAGAACATAATAAAGAAAAAGATAACAATAATAGATGGTTATATGTTAAAGCTTGACAACAAAATCATGAATCATGTACACAGTTGGTAAACCGTTTAAAATTCAATATAAACAATTGGGCATTATGCAATAATGTCTGGTTATCTGCATATCCAAGTTCATCCAAGCCATGCAAAAATAGGTGTACTTTCTGATTTTCTGATAAGCTCGACCATATAGTTGGTAGAAGCCGTGCAGATATAGAGAATAATTTTTTACGTTGAGCAGTATATAGCGGATGATGTAAAAAATAATGACTCCAAGTTTAAATAATTCCTCATAATTTTGATTTAAACAAAGATATAGATTCCACATTACATAAATTACGATCAAGTTCATTCCAAGCAGTTATTGACGATGGATAAAAAGATTTCTTTAGACGCTCAGTTTTAGAAGGGATGGAGATAATATTTTCACTTGTTCGCAATGAATATTCATATATTTTTCACTAACCTGTAAAGGCAGAATATCATGTAGGTAGGATGGAGTGAGAAGATTAATAATTTTATAGAGAAAAAACATCTTATGTAAATATCTTCTAGTTTTACAATCTTCCCAGCACAGTTCGTTCAATAACCGACCTTTGCTTGTGTCTTTAATAGCTCCTGTGACTATGCGTACTGCTTCATATTGGATTCCTTCTAAAATGTTGCTTTCATATTCACTACATCCATCCCAGATGACATCTGCATACTCCATAACAGGTCTTATTAATGATTTGTATAAAGAAATAAGAGTCGACCTATCTAGCCTATATTCCATACTTTTTAAAACATTCAGTGTTTTGCTAGCTTTTTTATGCATGCCAGAAATATGTTGTGACCATGAAAGATTTGATGTAAGAGTTAATCCTAAGTGAGTATGGGATGTAACTTCCCGTAGTGGCTGATTATCCAAACATAAGTTTGGATGAATTGGTTTTACATACTTTGTGGAGAAAGTGATAGTCTCACATTTAGAAGGATCCATATCCATTAACCAATGTTTACACCAAGCATTAATTTTTTCTAAGTCCTTATCTAATTTGGATGCGGAAGCAATCGGGTTGTCAACGATGAGTAATGATGTGTCATCAGCACAGTATAGGAAAAGTACAGTAGGGCCACTCAGCGTAAAAAGGTGTCCACATTGTTTACTGGCTGCCAACCTAATCTACATATTGACAGCCAGTAAATGGCAGCAGTTCACTATAAAATTGTATTACAGAGTAATTTTGGCCGCGTAAGACACCTAGAACCTATCTTAAATAATGCCACTTTTCTCTCCCCTAAGTGGCCCTACTGGTTGTCTCCCTATACTGTGTCATCAGCATACAAAAAATAATTAGGACTGGGTTCAAATCACATTGAGAAAGTTCTCACTAAGATTTGAACCTGCGACCTTAGTGGTGAAAGGCAAGTGTGCTATTAAATGACTTTGCCACTGAAGCCCACTTGCACAAGTCATTCACTGATTGGTGTCCAAATATTCATTTTATTATCCTGTGTATATTAGGATATTGCAATATTTTTAGATATTCATGTATTAAAAATTGATGGCATGAAAAGAGTTTAAATTTGAAAGAATCTCGTAATTTTTCTTGACAGAGACCATGATGATGATGATGTGGCCTATTATGATGCTTTTGATCTTTTTGACTATGATGAGGAGCAATTTGAGAAAACTGATGATTCTGTTCCTGAAGATCATGCTGAAAACAAAAGCAGAAGTATTGAGTTTGGACCACACCCTAAATTCAGTTGAGGGGATAAGAAATATTCCCTTGATAGAGAGTTCAAGATGGTCACTGAGCAATGCTTCATTTGCTCCATGGATTTGCTATTGGACGTATTTGCAAAATGTTGTCAGGTTGCACTGACATTCCACATATGACACATCATCTTGTTGGTAGGACCTTAATTGTAAACAGTTCATGTCAGTCTGGACACATATTTAGGTTCTGTTCCTCTCATGAGGTCAATATGATGTATGTGAATAACATCCAAATTGCTGCAGCTGTGTACTGTCAGGAAATAACTTTGGCAAAGTGAAGCGTTTGGCAGCAAGTATGAATTTGGCCCTCATCAAAATCCACATACTTTAGAATACAGAACTGTATGTTCTACCAGCAGTGGATGAGCGGTGGGGATGGATGAAGTTCGAGGCCAAGGTATAATTGTTGGTGGTGATGGCCAGTGTGATTCCCCTGGCTTCAACGCAAAGAATCTGTGTTACTATAAAGTGGAAGTTGGCTCCAAGTACATCTTACATGTTGAAATTGTGGATAAACGACATGTTGGTTTGGTTTCGAGTAACATGGAGATAGAGTTGGTCACTGATGCCTCAACTTCTGTCAAGAAATTACTGGGTAAGATTAAGTTTAGAAACTGAATTTAAGTGGTTAAAGATGATGTAAAAATAGTCAATTAAGTAAGCAACGAGTTTTAAAGAAAATGCATTCATAAAAAATACAAAAGATCCAACAAATTTTGGTGTAAAACTATTTCAAGGTGTACTATCTTCATTGTAGAATTTAAGTTGTCTTTGTTTTGTCTGAAAATATATTTTAACAGTGCCTAAAATGCAAAACATCATTCTTTTCAATTTTCATGTGAATATTTTTTATTTGTCTTTGTGTATTCATACTAAAACAATAATTTGCCCCAGTAGTCTGGGAGCTATTTTCAGAAACGGCCTTATTTAAGGAGTTTGCACAACCCACCTTACAGAAAAGGTTTGACACTTGATTCTTATAGAACAATATATGCGTTTTAACATGAGATACTTTGTACTATCAATTTGTGGTATAGGTGTCGAGATATCGGGGTTTTTTAGCCCCAATATGGCGGAATAACATCAGAGCGAGGCTACGTACCGCGAGGCCCACAGATTGGTTGGCTTTTAACCAAATCTCACGAAAAATATCTCATATGAATGCACTTTCACGGGGCTTTCGAAAAAATGTGAGCAAGTAATCATTGTGTCACCTCACAAATCACGTGATCCAAAAAAATACGGATTTTTGGTCTGAATTTGCTCAAAAACCCTTGAAAACAGATCTTTTCACAAAAAAATCCATCAAAATGTATTTATCAAGGCATTTTAACATGCTAAAACAGAAAAAGTACAATTCAAGTAGCGTTGTAGAATATCCGAGATGAATGACATCATGAATAAGACTGGAACGACTTGCGTAGGTAACCAGGCTTCCTTCACTGGCGGCCATATTTGATTTATCAATAATTCATTTAACAAATAAAAAGTGCTTTTTATAACAGGAAAACATATCACATTTTTTAAGATTGTTGGAGTCATGAGGGTAAACATAATAATTTGTGAAAATGATATATTGAATATATATTTGTGTCGTTTTTTGAGTTTTTGGTAATTTTTAGTTGCATATATTTAGTACAGGCTACTGAGGTGCGTCATATATTTAGTATAGGTTATTTCATTTGCAGTATGCTTCTGTTATGGATGAGGAAGATGAATGTATAAATCTGTCAAATAGTAATAAGGATGGTTACTTATCAGAGTAATGGAGGTAAACATAATAACATGTGAAAATGAAATAAGTAATTAGAAAATTCGATTAAAATTAATTTATTTTGTATATTCAATAAAGGCTAATTTGCTTTGCAGATGGATGATGGAGTTCATTTGCTTCCTGCCAAACAAAAAAAACTTACTAATTTTAAACAATGTATAATTTGTCAAGGAAGCAACAAGCATGATTGTTTAAGAAAAGCACAAGTTCCATCAGTTGAAAAGTTTATATATGCTTCAAATATTTGCAAAGATGATTGTTTTGATAGATTGCATATTGATATTGATAATCTTACTTCCAGAGAGATTTTGTGGCATAATTCATGTTACGCATCTTACACTAGTGAGCGTAATTTACGTAGCCTATCAACGGGTCAAACGGGTTCTCCTCAAGTGAATGAAGTGAGTTTGAAATCGCAACGAAACCGTCCATTGATTGACTGGACGAAGTGTATCTTTTGTCGGAATGCTTCTCGCAAAAGGGATTTTAAACTAATCAATATTGTGACTTTTGAAGCGTGCAATAGCATTAGAACAGCTGCTGAGGCCAGAGGCAAAGAAGAGCTACTGCCTGTATTACGAACTGTTGATCTAATTGCTAGTGAAGGCAAGAATCATAAGTCTTGCCATGCATCATATGTGAGCAAGGCAAATATCAAATCGCAGTGTATAAATGGAAAACCTGTTAACGAATACCAGGATTCGTTTGCTGAGTTCCTTGACATAATACGACCTGAAATCCTGAAGGGAAAAGTGTACAATACGAATTACCTACTACAATTGTACAAGGATATGCTAACCAAGAGAGATGTAAATGCCGATAGCTACACCAGGCAAAAGCTCAAATTATGTTTAAAGTTAGTCTTCAACGACAGCCTTGTGTTTCACCAACCGCATGGGAGCACAAAGCCAGAAATTGTTTACTCTAGTTCCATATCACTTCTTGGTGTTATTAACATAGCTACGAGAACAACCGAGAACACCACAACTTCAGTTGCAGCTCAGAATGAATTCATAAGGGATGATCCAAATGAATCAATTAAGATAATCAATAAAGCAGCAGTCATTTTCAGAAATGATTTAAGCATGTGCAAGGGAATTAAAATCGATTCCTTATCTCTTGAAGACTTGCACATACAGAAGGCGCGAACACGTATTCCTGATAACCTGTATTGGTTGGTGAGGTATATGGTATCCTTGGAGGTGTACGCTGCTGATCAAAGCCCTAAAGCTTCAAATGTCTCACATGAAAGGAAGATACTAATGATATGCCAAGACGTCGTACACGCTGCAAGTAACGCCAGAGTGAAGCTTCCAAAGCATGTATCGTTAGGTATAACTATTAAACATCTAACAAGGTCGAAGCAGCTCATAACTCTGCTAAACTGAATGGGACATTGTTGCTCATATGAACAAACTGAAATTGTGGAAACAGCCCTCGCTAATGAAACAATCGCTAGATCAGAGTTGAATGAAGGTGTTATCATTCCATCAAACATATCACCTGGTGTGTTTGTCCATATGGCAGCAGATAATAATGATTTCAACGAGGAAACCATCGATGGAAAGAACACTACCCATGCGACAACCTTCGTTGCTTTCGAAAGGAAACAACATGCACCAGCAACGCCACCCATGGAAATCTACGTGGATCACTCACAGCGGAAAAGGTCCTTAGATTTGTCAAGACCTATAGTGACGGTAGAGGATATCAATGTTGGAGGAAGACGTCCAGCCGTTACGAATTACGTTAATAAGATGACAAATGCAAGTTGGCTACAACCAAATGATAATTTCCTTTCAGCTTGTCAAGACGACTTGGAATGGCTAATCCTACGCATGCATTCCCATACAATGTTTGAAGAAAATTATCAAACAGTTGATGCTCAGAAGATTCGAGGTTGGAGTGGATTTCAGTCCCTCAGATTCTCGGATCCTTCAACGCCTACTTCCATTGGCTACCTTCCTATGATCCAGGCAGATGCAAACGAGTACAGTACAATCAACACGGTTATGAAACTCTCGTTGAAGATGGCAAATGCGCTTGGACAGTCCGAATCTGTAGTAACGTTTGACTTAGCAATTTACGTTAAGGCAAAGCAGCTTCAAATGAGGTACCCGGGTGAGTTCAAGAATGTCGTAGCTCGCTTAGGAGGGTTTCACATAGCTTTAAACTATCTTTCGCTCCTTGGAAAGATGTATTCAAACTCTGGTTTAGAAGATCTTCTTACTGAATCAGGAGTGTATGCGCCTGGAACTACCACCGCATTGATAGCAGGAAAGTCATACAATCGTGGAGTACGAGCCCACAAACTTTGCTTCGAGGCTCTGTTTCGACTAATGTGGAAAACGTTTGCAAGTTGGCTTGAAGAAACCGCGCAAGGCTTAGATGAAATTTTAAAGACGGAAGCCCTCGAGTTACTCAACCAATGCCAAGATTCCGACAATAAGGAAGAATACCTTAAAGAAAACTGGCATTCGCTAAAAGATGGCTTAAGTGCACTGGTGCATCTATTCAAAGAATTTGAAAATGAAGGAAAAGTCAAATCACAGCTTTTTGCATTCTGGAGTGAATACATGTCAATGGTGTCCTTTCTGCTTCAGTTTATCAATGCTGAGCGAACTGGCAATTGGAACTTACACTTGTCTTCCACTAAGATGCTACCCTATTTCTATGCCATGGATAAGAGTGAATTATGCAAGATGGCTCCCTGTATACTTGGCAGACATGCATTCACTACAGGAGCAGCACCCAGAAGTGTATTCTGAGTTCATAGCTAGTAACCATAGTATTAGTCGCTCACAACAACCCTTTGGTCAAGTTTGGTCTGACATGGCACTTGAGCAATCAATTAACTGCGACTCAAAATCAAAAGGAGGTTTGGTTGGCATAACCCAACAGGATGGTGCAGTGCACAAGTCATGAACGTGCAGCCATTACAAGATCACTTAAAGAAATGTGTGGCGTGGAGAATGACAAGATAGGAACACACAAGGAAACTAGTGTTACGCATATAGAGCGAGATGAGAAGGATGTCCAGCGGCTTATTTCATATGTTTTACCACTGGCTTAGCAAATAACCCATTTGTAACTGAAGACGAGGACAACGCAGACGACACTCTGCTTAGCAATATTGCAACAGGAGTAGTTGTACTTAACGAAGTCACAGATCGCTTGGTGAATACGTTTGAGATTGGAACAACTAGTATGCACGACTTCGTCAATGCAAGGCTTGATACTAATAAAGTTTGTTTCTGGGACCCTCTTAAGAAGCTGAAGATTGACACTTTTAAAGTAACGCGAACGATATCTCTTAAAGGGACTCGTGGAAAAGTCGTAACTTTGAATGCTGACTGTGAGCTCTTCGGATGACTGCTCGTAGTGGCGAAGACAAGAGATATCAACCTTAAAGAGATCCTAAGCTACGAATTGTCCTGTGTTGCAGTCTCCTTTGTACATCCAGATGAGTCAGACGAGACTAGGCGAAAGACAGCCAAGAGCGCATTGATGCCGATTTTGGAGAGAAATGTCAACTCAATTTCTAGATTACCTGTATCGGAACTGCGAACAGCTGTTATCATCGAAGTAAGTCAGCAGGAGCAGCAAAGTTTGGGGAGATGGCAGGTAAATACTTCGACATTATAACTCGGGTATTAAGTCAGAACAACTGTAGCCGCATAGACCTTGTATTTGACCAGTACCGTGCCATGTCTATCAAAGCAGCAGAACGCCAAGAAAGAGGAGAAAGTTTGTCCATGGAGATTAAGATTCACAAACAAAATATGCCAGTTCCCAAGCAGTGGAAGAAATTCATATCAAATCCAAAGAATAAGCAGAATTTAGCTACATTCTTATGTGAGTCTCTACGTACCATTTTGAAGACACAATTGCACCCATGGCAGAATGTTGTCATAGCAGGATTCAAAGATGGCAGAGAGACGGTTTCGTGTATCCGCGTAAATTCATCCAGTGTTTCATCTTTGTTTTCCGACCAGGAAGAAGCAGACACAAGACTTCTACTGCACGTCAAACATGCTTCAAACACTCATCAAAGAGTTGTTCTTCAGTCCCCTGATACAGATGTAGCGGTGTTATGTGTTGCTCATTTTCAGAATATCAGATGCTGTGAGCTATGGTTCCAGACAGGACTAAAAGACAAAGCGAGATTCATTCCAATTCATTCATTACAATCCTCCCTTGGTCCTTTGCTCTCGAAAGCCTTGCCAGCATACCATGCATTGACAGGATGCGATACAACGAGTGCTTTTTCAGGTATTGGCAATAAGAAGTCTTGGAAGGTATTGGTTAATGATTCCCAAGCACAACAGCAACTCCCCAGCCTGGGTGAAGATGGACTGAACTGTCTTTAAGCATATTTAAGTTTTCTGAACAATAACGTTGGTACGTTACTATTACCCTCCTTGTTATTCTGTTAGAGATTGCAATCTAACCGTTATATACTTCATATAGGGTGGCTGAACCTTTATATTAACAATATTTTATCATTTTATAATTTGAATTGTATTTTTATTCGTCTTAGCATGTTAAAATGGCTTGATAAATACATTTTGAGGGTTTTTTTTTGGGAAAAGATCCGTTTTCAAGGGTTTTTCAGCAAATTCAGACCAAAAATCTGTATTTTTTAGATCACATGATTTGTCACGTGACACAATGGTTACTTGCTCACATTTTTTCGAAAGCCCCGCGAAAGCGCATTCATCGTGAGATTTGGTTAAAATCCAACCAATCTATGGGCCTCGCGGTACGTAGCCTTGCTCTGATGTTATTCCGCCATATTGCGGCTAAAACCCCCGATATCCCGACAGCTATACCACAAATTGATAGTACAAAGTATCTCATGTTAAAAAGCATATATTTTTCTATAAGAATCAAGTGTCAAACCTTTTCTGTAAGGTGGGTTGTGCAATGCATCATTCGTTGGGATTCAGCTCTTAGACTACAGGCAAGGCCAGGCTTAATCACCTCCCTTTCAGTGAATAATTGTTAAATATTTCATGAGCAAGCCAATCTCTATTCATTAAGGGGTGGTTATGTATAAAACACAATTGTTATCATTTCAGAGAACGACTTCAAAGAAGTAAAACATAGTTTAGATGTTTGGCACAAGGCAAAGTCTATAAAAAAGTGTCTTGACAGGGTTAGTCAGTTTCGCAAGTTCGTTGTATAGAAAATTTCCCTGTTAAAGTGATTGTATTAATGAACTCATGCTTGTTATGTCTTGTTCACAGGTTTTATATCTATTATTTTTCACATACTAAGAATTAATTTATTTGATTTTAGCTTGGCAAACCAAAGACAATGAAGAAAATAAAAGATTGATCAAGCCATATAGTCCTTCATTTTTGGTATTGTTCCAGTGAATGCAAAGCGGATGAATCCATGTCAGATGCAGAGGCATTATTAATATCATAAAAAACTTATTCTTCAATCATTCAGGCAAACTACAACTGATCACTTTTCATTACAAACCTACAGGACATGTGGATAGGTTTATTGCATCATGTGTGCAATATACTCATGAGTGGCTTGGCTTGGTGGTAAACGCAAGCATCCTGAAGGAGATTGTGATGAGAGCCTTCCTTGGTTCAGTAGGCATGACAGAGATTTTGATGAGCTGCAGAAGGTTATCCTGAACCCAGAAATATTAGACAGTTTGAGAAAAGCTATGAGTACATTCCAATTCTTGTGTCAAAGATCATCAACCAATGTAACCTGCAATGTCCCCCTCAATGTTAGCAACCCAGGCAACATTGCTCCCACTATTGCACACGCCAGCACCAGCAACAAAAGACATACCACAAAGAAAAAGTAGATTTTAGTAAGAATATACAGTTATATACTAGAATAGAATACTATTTATACTTATATGTTTGGGATGTTAATCTGAGTATGTACACACTGGGCAAGCTGAAAAGTTTGTTTGACAGTGGTGGGAATCAACCCTGCAACCTTCTGTTTGCCAGTGCAATACTCTACCAACTAAGATACGAGCATGGGTGGATTTGCTAGTGGATTTTGTGTAAAAGTCTTTAACCCTAATACCTAACCCCTTCCGAACATCGCTCAGTGGTGCCGCTTGCACCCCACTAGAAATTTTTTCACCTCTCCTTTTTAAAAATGAACATCTGCACTTGGCTACAAGGTCAAGTTGGTTCGAGGTTGTGATATTTTGGACTGAATATAGTTCCTTCAATATCAATATGTTTTTATATCATGATCATGTAGCATTTGAATGGCAAACCAAAGGTTGTCCGTTGTGAGTTCAAGCAAAATTTTCAGCTTGCCAGGTGTGGACACACCCGGAGTAACATAAAAAACATATATCTTACACCTGAGTGCATAACACCACTAACAAAAATTAATAAAAACTATTTGTACTGTTATTATCTTTAGTTATTGTTCCCTAAATCCCATATAAACTCCAGTTACAGATGGATAGCACTGTCTTATTTTAAGACTACACATGAGGGGCAAACATGGTGGTTCCCTTTCCCCAAATATCCATGAAAATTTTTGTTTTCAGTTTCATTATGAGAGTGCTCAGGAAAATAATTCAAGACAAAGCCACAGGCATTCTTGTGGTCCCTGACTGGCAACACATAGCTGGTATCCCCTCCTACTTCAATTTCTAGTGAAGCCTTTACATCGCCTATTGCCCAGAGCCAACCTCTTAGTCCTACCATCAGACAGGCACCACAAACATCCTCTCCACAAGAACTTGAACATTTTTATTTGTCATGTATCAGGAACAAACTGCAAGTAAGTGACAGGTTTCACTGTCAATTGACATTATTCTCAGTTCTTGGCAAGAGGGAACTAAGATGCAATATCAGTCAACTGCAAAGAAATGGTTTCATTTTTGTCAGAAAAACAACTGTGATGTCATTTCCCCCACCTTTGCCTCAAGCATTGTCATTTCTGTCCGACTTATTCAAATCTGGTTTGTCGTGCAGTTCTATTAATACTGCAAGAACTTAAACCCAGTAAGGCCTGTGGTCCTGATGAAATCCCAGCTAGAATCCTTAAAGAACTTTCTCCATCAATTTCGCACTGGCTTTGTTTCATTTTCCAACAATCCTATGATTCTGGTACACTTCCACCTGACTGGTCAAAGGCCCTTGTTTCTGCTGTTTTTAAAAAGGACTTAAAATCCAACCCAGCCAACTACCGTCCAATCTCTCTGACGTGTCTGTGTTGCAAAGTCATGGAACATATCATTCTTAGCCATGTTTCAAAGCACTTAGCATATCATGATATTCTAATTAATAAACAACACGGATTTCGCAAACTATTTTCGTGTGAGACTCAACTAATTACGGCAATCAACGATTGGGCAAAAAGTATCAACCAGAAGAAACAAACCGATGTGATTCTCTTAGACTTCAGTAAAGCCTTTGATTCTGTTCCTCATCTTCGTCTGATGTCCAAATTAGACCATTATGGTATTAGAGGACTTTCCGCCAATTGGATCAAGGCTTTTCTTTCCAACCGCTCTCAAGTTGTCTCGGTTAATGGCTCCCACTCTCACCCTCAACCTGTCATATCTGGAGTACCTCAAGGAACAATTCTCGCACCTGTCTTATTTCTTCTCTATATAAACGATATTTCTGAGAATATTAAATCCCAAATTCGCTTGTTTGCTGACGATGGAATCATTTATAGAGAAATTAATAACGATCAGGACCACGTCACGTTACAAGAGGATTTAGACAATCTAAATAATTGGGCTAACAAGTGGCAACTAAATTTCAATTTCTCAAAATGCTACCACCTAGGAATTACAAATAAACGTGTCCCTGAAACATATAGCTATATGATGAATAATCAAATCATTAGCAGAGTATCTTCTACCAAATACCTGGGCATTACTATAAACCACAACTTGAACTGGAACAAACATTGTGACATCATATGTAGTAAGGCAAATAGCACTCTTGGCTTACTTAGAAGAATCCTTGGTGAATGTAGCGCTGCTGTTAAGTCAAGAGCGTATACTAGTCTTGTCCGTCCACAACTTGAGTATGCTTCTACAGTCTGGAACCCTTACACCAAGAGGAACATCAACAAGATCGAGATGGTTCAACGCAGAGCTGCTAGATTTGTCTTCAATGACTATTCTAGAGCTAGCCACGTCTCTCCAATGATCGACCATCTGGGTTGGGACAATCTCCAACAACGGCGACTGCTACACCAAACCACTATGTTCTACAAGATCCATCAAGGCCTTGTTGGAATCAGTCTTCCTGATGACGTGTGTCCTTTGACTAGAGCATCCAGGCTGCCTAATATCTGTCCTTACCGCCAAATTCAGTCGTGTGTCAATGTATATAAGTTTTCATTTTATCCAAGAACAATCGTTACCTGGAATCACATCCCATTTAACAATCTTTGCCAATCAACCCCAAGTTTCAAAACACTTGCCATGCCTTCAATTAAGTCACTTAATGTAGCTAATTAGTATCGTTTTGAATCGTTTGTATTGTACTATATGTTCGTTTTGTAGTCTTAGAGTTGTTGCCGTTGTTGTTATTGTCGTTTGTCGCTTTTGCCATTGTTGTTGTTAATAACATATAACAACATGATTCTATAATCACCGCCTAATATATGTGTCATACAGTGATTATGAAGACTAATTTCTTGTAAATAAATATAAATATTATCTAGTTTTTCAGTATATATAACTCCTCCTAGTGTAGTATAATACTGTTTTTAGGAGTATTTCATTAACTCAATTCGATCCGCCAATATTAATTTCCGACGTATATGATGGGAAGATTAAATATTAAAGAACTTCGCGAGTATTTGCAGTAGACATACGAAAATACCACCAAAAAATTCCGCTTGATCGATACTATATATTCAGAAATATTCATATAATTTTATTGTTTCTCGCTCAATTTCAAGCGAATTTCTTACCTTGAAATGATCAATGCGGTGAAATTTATGCAAATGACACATTATCAATTTTGCTGTTGCATTTTGAATGTTCCGCCTGATTCAAATGCTCGTCTTTTTGCTTCTTTTCAACGTATAATGATAATAAATATACCAAAAGAATCGCCATCTTCCATTCTATAGCTCGGAGCAGTCTCGGGAAATTGCGAAATAATCTAAGCCTATTATGGCAATTCTCGTGATCGGAAAGTGTTCGGCCAACTTCGGACGCCAAATTCTTGCTAAGCATTACAGTTTCCTGGTAAAAGACTGCAGGAATCACTTCCGGAGTGTTTGTTTACCCTAGATACGGATTTTGATTGGCTTAGGCAGAACAACAAATCTTTTAGAGCAATTTTCCTGATTATCGCGCACAGGAACGCACGAGCGTTGAAATGTATTGTGTTGTAGTTTTGTTTGAATCGCATTCTGAAGACGTTTTTGGCTTTATTTTGCAAACTGATAGTGTTAGTAATGATGGAATGTCTTCGTATGAAGACAAGTATCTCAACTTGGCATTGGGAGTCGTGTCTGGAGTTTCAAGGCAAGTATTTGTATCATTTCTAGACAATTTCTATTTCAATGTTTTGCCATTGCATTGTAAATTTATTTGTATTTAGTATAGCTTCACTAGTACGACCAAGTATGTCCTCATATCGCTTTTTTGTGTTGAAATAATCGTTTCATACTGAAATTGACAAATATAAATGGTATTTATTTATATTGTTGACGAAAATTTATGGTGTTTTAGGCATAAAAATCTCTGATTCCTAGGCTAAGTAAAATGAGCCTTGAGCACATGTTTGGTTGTTTGTTACATACATAATAGCCAAGTATTCATACTTATATCTTACTAGTTGGCTCTTATTATAATTTTAAGTGGCACCATGTCTATAAAAGTTTTTATTCGCACTGATGAATATATTGATCCTGTTCCTATCTGCTGTTCCTGTTTCATAGCCTCAGGGAAGTAGAGTTCTGATGAGTCATGAGAACCCCACTCACCAACCCAGAGGGAAGGTAGGGGGATGTGTAGAGGTAGAGGGAAGCCCAGCCATTAGGACCTAAGGTTTCGAAAGCTCCCTGTCTAGCATCCCCACTAGGCATGGAGTACATGACGGATATGATGATCCTGACGCCAGGAATGTTCTCCCAGATTTTGCTCCTCACTGACATGTCCGGGATCCATTTCGATCAACTGTGAGCTTGAGTTCATTCGGCTCAATGAACTGTGAGCTTGAGTTCATTCGACTCTTTTTTACTAAGGGAATGCTTCAGGAGGTAGTTTCCTGGCCATACCAATACATATGCCCACATACAAATAACTCAAAAGTTATCCCCATATACTAATAAAAAAGGGTCTTGCAGTCCACCAACCTTGAGAGGTTGATTGCCTTTAAGTATAATATGCAGGTTTGCTAAAGGTCGACAGTGAGATTGAAAATTATTGGAGTGTAAAAACCTTATATCATGGTCTGTGGGCAATAGACATAATTTCTCGGGTTAGGTACAAAGTGCTTATGGCATTTGTGAATATGGTAGATCCTGTACTAAAGACTACAGCAATAAACTGCATCAACAACTGTACCAGCCATCACAGAATATTGTTGTTGCAGACAAACACACTGTCAAATCAAGAAATAGGTTGGGTGTTAGGCAGTTCATGAAAGCTAGATGACCTAGTACTATGTGGGGAATAAATCTGACAGACAGTTGGGAGGTCACGTGACCAGCCTTTACAAGGGTCTCCATCCCGCCGCGGGTGTGGAGGCCCTTGCTTGCGAGGTTGGGTTTAAGGTTACAGAACACCTTTGAGTGTTAATTTTGCCTAAAATGTTTTTATTGCTTTCCATGAAAGCATTAGTCTAGTTCTACTATCTGACCAAGTTTGGATGAAAAATGTTAAAAACTTGCAGAGTTATTTAATAAAATAAATTTCGCTTGCAATAAGAAAAACATTTAAAATCTAATATTCAAATTTAATTTTCTCCCGAAGAATTTTATGGCAATTACTGATTTTTAAACGAGTTGTCCTCCAGCAAGTTTTAACAAATTTTTCTCAAATTTTCACAGGACATCGCTAAAGACGTCAGTTTCAAAATTGTGTTCAGCTTTGTTCTAATTTTGGATATTTTAATAATAAGGAGCAATTCACACGAACGATTCAGAAATATATTGCAGTCATCAAAGAAATCGCCATGTCAGCGGAATGACGAAATTAACAAAAATTCCTGAACACAATTTTTTAGAACAACTATTTTACTGTATAAAAATGATATTTCAAAGGCAAATTCCATCACGACAAGCATCCAGGAATGCCAATACAATAGCAAAAATTAAGGCGTTTAAGAAGCTCTTGCCCACAGAATTTTGGCACACATTGTGGGGCAGACACATTTTATTTTGGACTACAATTATCCAGGGCAACAGGTAGAAAAGGCAGCAATGATTACATTTTCCAATCCGGCAGTGGAAAAGCAATAATTCACAATTTTGCAGAAGATAGTGAGTCTGACATGATATTCATTAATGTCAATTTTAACAATAAATAAAGATCCGGACGTCACTCATGGTTTCAGCCACCACATAAGAATAAAAAATTGGTTTTCTAGTGGAAATGCAAATTATCATCGTCATCTTTCTTTTCGTTCCAGAGAGAATGAGTGATTTTTCTCCCAATGAAACTTTCTGAATCTTCTGTGAACTGTGTTGCCGTGGCTTTAGACTCAAGGTCGGCAAAGTGGCCGCAGAACGTTTTGCCTTCCAGATTATTGCTCAACTCGGTGAAACAGGTTTCTGGGTCCAACTACACAGATAACATTTTTGAAAATGATAAAAACAATGTTTTAGATGGAGCAGAAGATTACCTTTTAGGAGGGGATGGAGAAGACATGTATGTCGTGAAAAAGAGTGAGGGCTGTGACATCGTTGACAATTTTGCTGATGACAATTCGCAAAAGTGCTTGAGGTCAGATAATGGCACAGAATTTATGAATGGTGATTTCCAAGATCTTCTTAGGAAAAGAGCCATTAAGCATGAAACTTCTTGTCCAAATTCTCCCCACCAGAACGGAACATCGGAAAGGTACTGGCGGACACTATTTGAAATGGCTCGGTGTTTGTTGTTGGAGAGTGGTGTGCCTAAGATGTTGTGACCATATGCCGTCCAAACTGCCACTCCTATTAGAAATAGGTGTTACAACAATAGGACTAAGAGTACACCCTATTTTAGCATGACAGGAAGAAAACCAGACCTGTCAAAGATGTGGGTGTTTGGCTCAGAGTGTTACATTTGTAACTATGATCATAAGAAACTAGACCCTAGGTGTATGAAAGGAGTATTTGTCAGTTATGATAAGAACAGCCCAGCCCACCTTGTTTATCACCCACAGTGTGGTAAAGTCATGAAACACAGATTAGTAAAGTTTATTAAGAATACCAGTGCAGAACAATGCACACAGACTGAAATTGATGATCTAGGCCTTTGTAGAAAGGAGGAAAATGAAATTTCCCCAAATGATGTTCAGGGACAGGAAAAAGATTTTCCTGAACCTGAAAAAATTGTTGAAAACTTAGATTTAGGCGAAGGGCCACAGTTAGGTGTTGAAGATAGTAAAGAGGTTGAAGATGATCATGAGGCTAAGGTTTATCCTCAGAGGGAGAGAAAAGCCCCACAATATTTAGGAGTCAATAATTCAGCCACGTACACTGAAGCTATGGAGTCCACTGAAGCTTCAGGTTGGGAGAAGGCCATGAAAGGTGAGATGGAAGCACTCAAGGAGAATGACACGTTTGAATTAACCACCTTACCAGAGGGTAAGAATTTAGTGGGGGGAAGATGGGTCTATACCATCAAGGAGGATGCAAATGGTTTGGAAACATTGAAAGCAAGATATGTTGCAAAAGGGTACAGTCAAGTGCATGGTATTGACTATGAGGAAACTTTTTCCCCAACTGCCAACATTACATCAATCACAATCCTTATGCAACTTGCTGCTCAATATGATCTTACTGTTCATCAGATGGATGTCAAAACAGCTTTCCTTCATGCCCCTATTGACCATGAAATATTCATGGAGCAGCCTATGGGCTTTGAAGAGTTGTCAGAGAACGGTGTCAAATTAGTCTACAGGTTGAAGAAATCTCTTTATGGTCTTAAGCAGTCGGGTAGGAACTGGAACAGGGTGTTAGACGAGTACTTGATAAGTGATGGATTTGTTAGAAATCCAGTCGACCATTGTGTTTATCAAAAACAAACAGGTGAAGATATCATAATTGTAGTTATATGGGTTGATGATCTGATTATAGCTTCAAGTAACACAGATAAGATCAGACAATTCAAGGAAAACATGAAATCTAAATTCAGGATGAAGGACTTGGGAGAAATTTCTTATTTCTTGGGCATTAGCTTTAAACAAGGAAATGGAGTTATTAAAATGAATCAGAAAAGATATATTCAGAAGATACTAGATAGATTTGGTATGTCTGATTGTAAGCCTAGAACAACCCCATGCGAGCAGAGATTTGAGGGCATGAGTGATAGTGAACAGGTAGACCCAAGGAGATATAGAGAGATTGTAGGTAGTCTGATTTACTTGATGACATGTACCAGACCAGATATTAGTTGGGTGGTTAGCAAGCTATCTCAAAAATTGTCATGTCCCAGGTTGGAAGATTTAGTGTGAGCATGTACTGAGATATTTAAAGGGCAGCATGGAGCATGAGTTGTGTTTTAGAAAGTGTGATGGTGAGCTTAATCTTATTGCTTATACAGACGCTGACTGGGCATCTTCATTGGATGATCGACACAGTACTTTTTGTGGCTAGCCCGTTCGCGGGCTAGCCACAATGTAACGCTAAAAATGTTTGTAAGATATGTGAAGTTGTGACGGAGATTGTCGACTTTACTTCGGAAACTGTCGTTCATGGCATGAGGAGACGATATTTATTATAATAACACAGTGAAGTATATGAATCATATTAAATCCCACAGAAAAGGTATTTAACGACTTTAATAATACTCTCTCTTGCCTCACTTAGCAAAATTACAGTTAGCAACACGGGAAGAAATGCTCGAAGAAATTTTTCACAGCAAACGGTAAGTTAATTTTTGTTATTTCAATCGATATTTATGTTTAGGCAGGCCTAAAATTTATGAATCTGTCATATAGCATATTAAAACATTGTTGACATTGTCATTGCTATTCATATCTGCTCTGGACTTTGATTCTGGTCAAAGAGATTTTGATCACGCTTCATATAAAGCTTTATAGTGAGTTTATAATACTGTTTTATAATCAAACGTGCTTGCACAGATCTTGAATTTTAATACGAAGTGACTATATGACCAGCAGCTGGTCACGGTTTATCAAATACTAAATGGCCGGCAGTCTAGTGACTATTGTTAAAGTTGAATTTTTATAAGATAAACCTATCCCCAACCCTTTTCTAACCCTAACCCCTAATGCATGAGTCAATTCCTGGAGTAACCATCCCCCCCCCCTCCCGGGACAACCCTGGGAATTTGCCCGATAGACAGTTCACGGGGGTCGGGAATTTGCCTTTCATATATGTGCACCGGGGCCGGGTATTGGAGGACCCCGGGGATTTGACAAATGGTTGCCCAGAATCCCACCCACAAATTTTAAGGCAGCAAAACATAGTTTCAGGCAAGCATGTGGGCGCGCTGATCGTATTTTGCGCCCTCGTGGTCAAGGTGGCATGAAATTTATTGTAAGAATAAGCGAAAATTATACCCTGTGCCATGCAAATTTAAATACAACTATTAAAGGTTTATGTTTTATGATATTCCATAGCAGTTTAATACTATAATGTTATTAAATGACTATGATTATATGCCATTAAAAGTTTAATTAACGTTTACAGTCGATTTCACGAAACCTTGACCACAAAATTTCCGAACTTCGTTGCGAAGTTCACAAGATTGTTGCGAAGTTCACAAGATTGTTGCGAAGTTCAAAAGTTCATAATGAGATTCACAAACCAGTTCGTAAACTACGCATTTGACAACCTCGTTCCCAGGCTCTTTGCTCTTGGGAAGCAAAGACCCTGGCTGGGGCTGGTCACGTGGCACGCAGAAATTTGATCGCCCATGGGGGAGTACGCAAAGTATCAAATTACATGCTTCCACTTCCGCACTTTACACTTTGATTGCAAGGAGTGAAAGTGTTCTGTACAATCAACTTTGAGAATCATATGAAATTTAAATACTTGCTAAATTTGGTTCCTGTTTGCTTTTAAATTATAAAAAACATGCTAAACATATTTTTATAGCAACAGACAAGTCAGGAAGTCAAGCAATAAAAACGTATGATCGTATGCTTTGAAATTGTTCTAATGTTCTCTCGAGGCCTCTGGCGCATTTTCATTTCACACGTTTCTGTTTTGCCTCTGGTTCACTTCACATATTTATAATATTCTTATAATATGCCGTTATAGTTTTTTGGAAACGGTATATTTATCTTTGAATTGATTTACTTGTTAATTTCAACACAATACTGTGGTAGGTCGTAGCTCCTTTTGAGCTTTGAGGTCTTCTCGCGCACACGCTTTATATAAATAGATACAAGCCAAATGGACATTGAATCTCTGTTGATTGATTTATTGATTCAAAAATTGTTTATAGACATTGCATATTTTTTTTAATAGGTTAAATTATTGAATATTGTATAATTCATCGTTTGTATTAAACACTAGGTAGTAAGGAGTGTATCAGGTACAAAAATTGTTAGGGAATCTACAGTATAGAATTTAGATAACTAATATGCTTTCCTATTTTGTCTACACGCGAGTATAATAATGGCAAAATAGTGCACAGTATGTCCTATAATATATAATTCAATATTCATTTACCCTCGTCTTTTATACCTTGCCCATTGGCATTGAATGCAAAAGAATAACAGCAGATATAATAGAAAAATACTTTCCTATATAAAACCTTATAACGGTATAAAGTGCCTCTACACTTTGTCAGGGTCATATTATACATAGTTCATATAAGTCCCACATAGACACAGCATTACTCGATAAGTTTTTGTAAGAATTTTAAAGTTTCTATTGATACATCGGCTGTTTGTCTCTAGCATACTTGGATGAAAACTTCTAAAATATGATGAAGATTGAAGTTGATATAAATATTGATTAACACAGCAGCATGATTCAGGTCGAAAAAAGCAGGATTATTCTGCTATAAAAGGCCAATTGCAATGCCAATAAAGGTCTTTATAAGATTTATAATGTGCCTGCTAAGATTGCTTCACGTAAAACATGATATATTAAATATACTATAAAATAAAATAAAATAAAATACTTGTGTCTGATGTTTAACTGTATGTATCGTATTGTATATTATCGTTGTACCGCATAGCCATAGCTAGCCTGCTCACAGACGTTGTAGTTCTTACGCCAAGCGACGAAATACTACCGTCTGCTTACCTGAGCGCCAAACTGAATTCCGCTACGTCGACCAATCAGAATTTACCTTCCATATTCTGGAAAGTGACGTCACAAAGACGTGTTCATACAGCATAATTAGCATAAATTTAAATTCAATATGGAGTTCGACGAAGCTGTGAGCAATGTTTGCCAGCTATTTCGTATCAACAAGCTGTCAGATTTTCAATACAATGCGATAAAAAAGATAACAGAGAAAAAAAATGATGTTTTTATCAATATGCCAACCGGAAGCGGGAAATCTCTTACATACGAGGCTCTCCCGATCGTTTTTGATTGTCTGTCAGAAGGAAGTCCTCGATGCGAATATCAACCAAAGATGAACATTTTAATAGTTGTTTCACCATTAGTCAGTCTAATGAAGGATCAGGTTGACAGACTCAATGCCCTTGGTATTAAAGCTATCAGTCTGAGTCTTATCAGTTCCGCAAATGAAGAAAACGATCTCTTGAATGGCAGATATTCCATAGTCTATGGTTCACCCGAAAGCTGGCTATTGAATGAGAAATGGCGGTCTATGTTGCTCAGCAATTCCTATAGCAATAAAATATGTGCTGTGGCAGTAGACGAAGCCCACATTATTAAACACTGGTGAGTGTGATATATATTCTTCAAAATATTTATCTCTTCATTTTATTTCAGTGAAAATGTACATGTGTGAGGTGTACGTGTTTTTCATGATACAAAATGTTTTGAATATTTACATACTTCCAAATCAAAATATACTGTAATTTATTGTGAAACACTCGAGGCATTGTTGCATCATTGCCCACCCTGGTGCATATCAAAGGATGGCATGGTTCATATTAAATTTCCTGTACAACTTCTAGACTGTCAATTTTGTAAACTGAACTGTCAACAATAAATTGGAATAAATAATAATCAATGAACACATATTTTAATATTTATGTGAAGTTTCTTATTCAAGATGGCCAACAGGTCAAATTTCCAAGCCTTCGGGCCTTCTTATGATACAAAATCCTTACCCACTTCAGGCCCAGCCCCCCTCCTAGTGTCTGCCACTGCTTTCAATTCCCCTGACCAGGAACATAGGTGTATTATGATTTTCACAAATACATTGTAATATGATATTGAGTCATAATAAATGCACATTCTTGTTCTTTGGTCCACCCCCCCCCCCCGAAATTTTCATTTTCCTGTTGTGAAAGATTAGTGATATATATTTTTATGAGTAATATTAAACATGACTAGAGGGAAATTATCGATTAACTTGCTCGACACTGAGGGAAGTTTTATGACAGCCGAGGGCGAAGCCTGAGGACTATCAAAAAATTTTCCCAAGGTGAATGGCAATTTAATCGCTAATTTCCTAACTAATCGTGTTATTAGTTTGTAATATTATGATCATCGAGGGTATCACATGGTCTTATGATTGTGGGATGAACACTTTTCATATATACGCACGCACAGAAACACATCCCCATGTTCATTCTTTTTAGGCATGTGCATAAACCATATTTTATCCCACAATTTAAATGTTCAAGATTGTGGAATAAAAAATGGCAAAGTGATTGTTCATATGTGTACAGGACGGTGTTGTCAGAAACTGTTCACAGTTGTGCTGATGATTTTCGATGAGGTACAGCTCTCCAATGAGAGGTAATGGAGTACTTTCCCTGGGAGATTTAGTAAAAGACAAAAGATTTCTTTGTCTTCTAATTTTGAATTCCCTCATCAATCATACAGGGGAAAATTACAGTATAAGACAAAGAAATATTTTATCTTACTTAGAAGACAAAAACGTAATGAGGGAAATATGGGATTTAAATTCCCTTTCAGAATAATGAAAATAGAGGTGATCATGGTATTAGTTTGAAAGTAATAAATATGCATGTATTGTTATTTAGGGGAAAATCATCAAGCAACAAACATGCAGCATTCCGTGAATGTTTCATGAAACTTGGTGAACTAAGGTCACTTGTACCAACAACATTTGTTGTTCTTACTGCAACTGCAACAGAAGAAACCAAGCAAGACATATTTGAGGTTTTACTCATGGCTGACCCTTATGTTATTACTGAAAGTCCTAACAAACTCAATATAACCTATTATGTATCATATATAAACAAATATGATAAATTGAATGAGCTTTTTAAATGGTTAACAGATGAGCTGTTAGAACGAGGTGTGGACTGTACAAGAACAATTATATACTGCCAAACGATAACACAGTGTTCCACACTCTATGCCGTGATGAGAGAAAGTCTTGGTGAAAGAAATTTTCTAGACCAAAATAACAAGTGTATGGTTTTGATTGAAATGCTTCATTCATGCACACCAGAAGCAAATAAGAGAGAAATTTTGAGTTCTTTTCAGAAAGTTGATGGGAGTATCCGTGTACTTGTTGCAACAATTTCATTTGGTATGGGTGTAGATAGCAAAGGAGTTACAAACGTTGTTCACTTTGGTCCATCAAAAAATGTTGAAAGCTATATTCAGGAAACAGGTCGAGCTGGAAGGGGTGGTACTCATGGTAATGCATTTCTATTATACAGTAGCTTATTGCTGAGACATGTTGACAAGGATATGAAGTCATATGTGAAAACCGAATGCTGTCGTAGAGAGTTTTTGCTAAGTTTCTTTGAACCTGCACGGTCAGTTGTAAAGCCATCTCCAGATCATCTATGTTGTGATAGCTGTGCGTTGAAATGTAAATGTGGTCTCACGAACTGTGGTGTACAATATTGTTATCCAATTACATCAAGCATGCCAAATCCTCTCGTGATACGTGATGTGTCTTTTGCTGAAAGAGAACAGTTAAAAAATAAACTATTTTCATATTACAAAGGAATTGTCCAGTCACTGAAAAAATCAACAACCCAAGAAGGAAAAGCAAAAGTTCTCTTTGCGCCAAAATTCTTACTTGGTTTTTCAGAACATCACATTTTACAAACTGTTGAACATTGCCATAAAATATTTTCTTATTCTGACATCTATACTCATGTAGAGATATGGGATGAAAAGCATGCAGTACAGATCTATAAAATACTTAATGATGTTTTTGGAGATTTGGAGGAATACACCTTTGCACTAGAAGAGAACAGAGGCGATAATGATGATAGTAACATTGACGACGAAGCATTTCAACAGTGGAATGAAATAGCTAATGATGAGGAACTGCTTGGTTTGGTTTTGGACTGCAGTCAGTTGACATTAGATGACACCTTCACAGACAACTCTGATAGTAGTGTTGATTTATGAGGTGATGTACATACATACATGTATGATTCACTGCTACCTGATATGGTATTTGAATAACCCTTCTTAATATAGTTTTCATGAATGTATAGAAATATATACATGAATATACAGGAAAATGTATTAGATTTGCTCCCAATTAATTGGTTATTTTTCTGCAATCAATCACAGTATGGTATTCAATCAAACAATTGGATCCCACATAGTATGATGCCTAAATTAATGAGGTTATTTCCGAAATTAAAAAATTGCAACAAAATTGTAATTCTGATTCTCATAGTGCCGAGCTGAAAGTACTTTTAAATTTGAGAAATTTAGTAACATTGGACATGTTGCAATGGGTATGCATGATGAATATATTCAATAAATATGAGCAATCATCATTTGATCATGAAAATGAAGTGATGGGGGCTGCCCTAATTCTTTTGAATGTATATACAGTACACTGTATTGTAGTTTAATTCTATTTATAGCCTGTGCTCAGTTTCGCACTAGCAGTCTGCTTAAAGGCTTGAATGTGTTAAATGTGATGCCACAAATATCGAAATACCCAATACAAATATTTTAACAACATTTTTATAGTACTGTATACTCTGGAAATGCCATTACAGACAATCTAAATATGGAAAATTTTCATACTGTGCATCAACCATGATTTATACATCCCTGTAGAACCACATTTGTTTTTTTTTGTTTTTTTGGGGGGGGGAGTTGCACATCATTTATTATCAACTAAATCAAACCCTTCACCACATAGTGTTTTATTATGGGTGTATATACAGTAATTACTGTATAATATTGACAGATATATAGAGGATATTGGGTCGCTCCAGAAAAGATCCATACTCCCCACACAGAGGAAATGTCTGCCGTCTGAAGGGGAGAAAAAATTGTGTCTGATAATAGTAAATGTATTAGGACATCCAAAGGGGGTAGGGGGTTAACTTCCTATTTCCTCTGTGGGGGTGGTATGGATGTTTTCTGTAATGACCTATTACACATCGGCGTAAAGATAAGACTTTTATCTTCAAGTGGTGAAAACAATATTTTACGAACGAGCACAGCGAGTGAGTAAAATATTGTTTTTAACACAAGAAGATAAAAGTCATAGAGAATAATACATGGGTGTGCGGAAATACCAGATTTATTTCGAGTGTTGAACATGATACCTCGCGAGTGAGCGCAGCAAACGAGTGAGATGTCATGTTCAACACGAGAAATAAATCTGGTATTTCCAAGCACCCATGTATTTTTCTGTTTATTATATAAACAAAATTCAGTGAAAAACAATAAAACGTCCGTGGCAATGCGTTTTACAACAAATGATATTTTCACACGTAAAAATATCATATTTTTTACATGCGTTTAAATACGATTTTTCGCAGTGGCCAAAAACTCTATATAACACTTATGTTTATATAATAAAAAGTATTATATACATTAAAATATTAAGTATTAAATTCTCTTTACCTCTTTCATCTTATTATATTGGAATTTATCTTCCTCTTGTACCAATAGACATGTTATCTTTGTGTTTATTTATCCATGTGTAAATCTTTGACATATCAAGCCAGGAAATAGGACTTCTTTCAAAGTTCTTAAAATGCTTGTAACCTCTGCCAGGTCTTCTACTGAATACATCTTCCTCTATTAGCTTTCCAACCAGTACATCCATATCGGTCCCACTTGACTTCTTCTTGTGTTTACCTGATCTTCTGATTCTTTTCAAATCTCTGTCTATGTTATCCATAACACCTCTCATTGGAGCTTCTGCTTTACTTATCCTGGTAACTGCATTCTCTGTAATATTGACACCAAGGTGATTGATAGATTGCTTTAGGAAATTGTTGCTATGTTCAACAGCAAGATCCAATGGAATGTTCATTCCTAAGCCACCTTTGTTATTCACAGATCTATTCCAAATAAATCGATGTGAATCTCTTTTGGAAAGCACACCTTTGACTAGAAGGAGTTGGTACAAACTTTCTAAAGCGTATTTATTGCTGTGGGGTGCATCAGACTTGAACAACAACATTAGATACTTGTATTGACGAATTATACGTTCCCCATCTCCCTCCGCAATTGCATCGATGAAATTAATAAATAACAGTCCTTCTGAAACCAGAGCACAGTTATAATTGTACACATCGTCAGAATCTTCTTTGTCTTGTGCTGATTCCCCGTCATTTGCATCGCATCCAGGTTCTTCAGGTACAACTACTGGTGGATCGTGAGAAGCTTCATGTTTCCTTCTTGCCTTTCCATTATATTTGTATGTTTTTGGACATTCGGGATAGCGACAAGGAAAGCGATTATATTCGTTTGGTTGTTGGTTGTTACTAAGCTCCTTGTCTTGAACAGATGTGGCTCTCTCCATAAGTGTTGCAAATGTACTCTGGTCGATAACAATTTCATCGACAACTTTTGCTGATGCGTTATGAAGAAACTTTAACTTGGTAAGGTTGTCTTCCTTTTCTAAGTTTGCTGGAATTGGGAAAGCCAATGGGACACTTGATAGGGTCTCTATGCCAAGAACCTTCATAGCAGCAGCAATCACACGAGAAGTAACTTCTGTAATGATAAAATCTCTATCTGGTCTGTAAGCAGAGTGTGGATCCACTTTTACATTTCGACGGTTTATTAAGTTTCTATCAGCCATTAGAGTACAATTATCCCTTGCAGAACTTGCAGAGTAGAAGCGGCGAAACAATACCTTTGAATTCAATAATATATAAATAAGTTTTATTAATAAATTTGAAGATTTGTAATCCAGGCATGTTGCTTTAAATTTTATAACAAGTTTGTATTCACTTATTTTTTATGTTAAAGCAGCACAAGATTTTAATTTTGTAATACTGACTCTGTTATCCTGATGAATCTGTAATCCTTAATGATTTGAATGTTCAAACCCAACACATAACATTTAATTAATCAGTCATGCACTTGTCTGTCATGGTGGCTAAATTTTTATACCTTCCAATCTGCAAACATGCTGCTAGTGTGCATACAAAAGCACTTTTTTATAAATAAAAACTAGGTTGGCTTAATTGTTCAAAGCTGGAGTTACACGATCAACAAAATTGCTGCAACTTGCAACAAAATCTAATTTCAATGCAATCTCGTTCCCTGAAGGGAAGGAAACGAAGGCTCTGGTGTAATCCGTTTCGGGGAGGAATCTGATTGGCCGTTGATATGGAATGTGCAGTTCAATCTTAGCCAGAATTCCTGGCTTCCGGCAACAGATTATCCCAGATGCTTCGTTTCCTTCCCAAGGATCGAAGGCTCGGGGAACGCGATTGATTTCAATGCATGTTTATAAGTAGAAAAATTACTTTGTTTTACATGGGACAGTTACTGTTCAAATAACCTGACCAATCACCTGCATAAACCATTAGTAAATAATCTAATTGTTAAGGACTAATCATACATTAATAACTAAATTTCTAATAACTAGGAGCAATAGAATTTAATTGTTTCTTTACTAATTGAATTTGCTAAATGATGTGCATATTTTATATTGTTTCATTTAGCAAATATAACAAATTGGACTTTAAACCATCAATTAGTGATTAGGAATGGACCATTATAAAAGTGATGGGGAGGGGAGGGGGGGGTGGGGGGCAAAACAAAACAAAAAATTATTCCCAGAAAAAAAATTAGGGAAAAAAAGCTTTCCATGCATAGTGAAAAAAAAATTCCTTGCTTGGAAGATAGGCCTATAAACTTCACTTAAAAAAAATATTTCCAGCCATCAAGTGAGAAAAAAAATTCTTCTATAGGTGTACAAAAATATATATATATATATATATATTGCCTCTAGAAACCCCACCCCCCCCAATCACTTTTCTAATGGTCCGTCCTTTTAATACAATCATGCACTAATCAACCTCAGTGTCAACTGCTATTAAATACCTTATATATTGCAAATGTAAATTAAATTTCAAATGATTATACAGTATACCTCGAGAATTTTTACGCAAGTGTGCCAGTCTCCTATTTGAACTATCATGCCTTCAAGTCTATCTGTTTCATTGTATCCATTTGAAACTGAGTGGATAACATTTATGGCTCTCTCAACTGATAGTTGATCACCAGAAAGTAGTTGTGGTTCAAATGTTTTTTCCTCTTTAGCATTTGTGTTGTGTGGCATATAACCCTGAAACTTCTTTAAGATGTCAATCATCTCATTGTTGATATTTTCATTTTTAAAGATGACACCAAGAGGAACCTAAAACAATCATACAGTGTTACTAAGTATGTAATATATTAAGCTATTTTGGACAATTTTGTAGAGCCCAAAATGCAAGGGTGACAATGCAATACTGAAAGTGTGTGTGGGCCCGGGAGGGGCGTGGACAGTCCTAATTTTGGATGGCACTTTGGATGGTCAGTGATAAAATTGTGATATATCTAATATCTTTATATATTGCTCAAGATGTATGAAATGTTGTTTCAGAAACTCAGGGTCTGATTACATAGAGAGCAGGGACGTACTGTAACTATATGCAATAATTGTGGCGGGGGGGGGGTGTGCATATTCATATATTCGACATGTTCATAATTAACGTAAAAACAATTGCTTTCAAAAGAAATCCATTGGGCAGAACAAATATATGAATATGCACCCCCCCCCCTCCCAAATATCGCCATTTTTACATCCCTGATGGAGAGTTTTCAGTCCAGGGCTGAGTTTCCAGGCTGAAAATTCAGCCAGGCTTAAGGATAAAATCCTTATACTAAAACACAGCAAGTAATTACATGACCAAAATTCCATTTTGAGATGCCCATATATAATCACAAATAAGCTCAGCCCATTTAAATGGCTTTATTTTGCATGCTTGTTTCATCTTTAAATACTTTACATATAACTATACAGTATGTCTCACACAAGTCAAATAGTTGATTATTCAGTGTATGAATGCTTCAAAGAAGTGTAACAGCCTTATTGTGATTATTTCAGCCTGGGCTGACGTTTCAGGACTTTCAGCCTTGTGAGTTGGCTATAAATATAGATCTGAATAATTAGTCAGCCTGAACTTGAACTGCTCGAGATCATGTAATTGTGATGCAATTTCAGCTTGTTTATACAGTAACCGGGCTGAAACCTGGCACATGCTGAAAACTCTCCATGTAATCAGCCCCTCAAATAGTTAAATAGTTTGTGTGTACATACACCTGGGCATATATTCTTATATTATTATGTCTCAATTTTGGAATGTCTGCTATTCTTGACTTGAAATGATGTGGGGGACGGAATTCTTTTGAATTGGGCACCAATCAAGGGATTTATTGCAAGTCAAGAATGCACAAAAATATATAATTGTTACTTATAATACCTGTTCTGATTTCATTGACATTTCTTTGACATACTTGTGTGAGATGTGCCTGATACAAACACTTTCAAGGAAAGCTAGATAATGCACTAAAATGCTGTACAAGAATTCTAGATACAAGCACTATGAGATTTTGTCTTTGCATCTTTTGCTCATAAAGATTTGGGAGAAGAGAGATGTTGGGCACTTTAAGAACCCCTGTACCAGGATGTGTTGAAAGGTGGTTACCAGAAACTCGATTGAATGTACAGCGATGATTTACCCAGTGTATATCCAGGTTTTGGACTGCCATTGACATATGCCTCCGTTCACGCCTGATATCAATATTGTCATAGGAAATATTATACCCAGGATAAGCATTGTTCTTGAGATCTTCTATCGTTTTATTGATTTTACTGTGTGCTATTTTACAATCTGCAACACAAACATGATCAATTTGTTTGCATGCTTGGGCCATTTCATCTCTCTTACACAATGTCTGTCGCTGCAGGGATATCGATTGTTTCATATTCTGCAGTAGAATGTCGTGATCTTTCCCAAGTGCGATCATTTGCTTTAGTGTTGTTCGATTTGATGAAGATAGCTTCATCTTGCTGAATCTTTGAAGTATGGCCTAAAAATTACAACAGCATTTGAATAATATTGCAATTGGGTCGTTAATTCTACAAATTAATTCTATTATTTACAGTCAAACCGGATATACAGTAATACGATGAAGAAATAAATTATAAACACAAAAAACAATTGTCCCACTGAATTCTGTAATAATGCTGATTACAGAAAATATTTATAAGCAAATTGAAATGAAAATGACTTTTCTACATTCTTATAATCCAACGAAAATATCTTAAATCCATAATTTCCATGTTTATGAAATTTTGACATGAAATTGACAACTCACGATAGGAGTACATGAAATTGACACATATACACTGGATAAGAATTGTGTTTTGCGAATTTGATTTATATTATTAATAAGATATTATATGTTCATATATTATGCACATATTGTCATAAATACGTTTTTAAAGATAGGTTCTGCTTTTAATGTTTTACCTTTTCATAACTACGGTAACCAATATAGCCGAATAGGAAGTGCCAGTGACTGTTCAATAGTCAATACGGCTCTTGTTTTATATTGTCATTTGTAATGCAGAAAATGCCAGAAATTGACTAGCTATAATCGTTAATAATACTTACTTCTGTAGATCTGTTCTTAACAGTCAAACTGACAACAGTTGCAAAGGTATTCATATGTGTATTTCTCTGCTTTAACAACACAGATGCGGCCACGACTATGCTAGGAAGCCATGTAGTTTCCTTTTTAGCATTCGCACAGGTCATCAAAACTCCGTAAAATAGTGGAGTGCGTTCTTTCAACTCAATACACACTTTCTCCAAACAAAAGTTCAATATGTCGGCTTTAGCGCTTTTCCTGAGAATTGAAGGGTTTTTCAGAGAGCACAGATCTTTTAATTCTTTTCCTAGCTTTTTGAGAACCAATTTCACAACCGACCTGTTTATTATTGGATTTTTCATAACAGCACGAGCTATACGACCATCTGCTCCAAATACAAGGGCAGTACCAATGGATGATAGTTCTGTGCTTAGCTCTTTTCGTACAGTTCTCGACGGGAATTCAACCGTGATGGTAACTTTTGAAACACCGTCAATATCCGTTGGGCGTACAGTGCTCGGTATTCTCTCTTTTTTTAAAGGTGTAGAACTTTTCGGTGGTTCGAATTGAATGTAAGGAAATGCTTTCATAACCAAAGAAAAGCGATTTTGTTGTGATAAATTAGGTGAAGTAGCACATATAGTAGGATATGGAAAGCTTGGACAAGGATCTGGAGCGCCAGGCAGCTGGCATACGTTTGACATTGATTGAGAAGTTTGAACACTATCTTCGTAATCTAGAATCAGAGCCTTCGGTCGCAACCTTAGTGTTTGTGGTGATTCTGGTGCCATTCTTTTTAACCGAATGGACCCTCCTTGTTGAAACATATGTCTCAATTTATCGCATAGATTCCCAGTTGATTTTATGAGGCCGTCCAGTCGAGTAAGCTGCTTGTAGCATTTTGAACAAACAAACATTGCATTGGTTTTTTCAAACTCTGCGAGGTTTACGTTGACTGCTCTCTTTATTAATTCTACCAAGTTGATAGAACTTCGCCCAAAAACCTTTATCCGTTTTTCATAACTTGTTGTATTTTTGCAAATAAAACATTCGTTCTCTTCTATTATAACTTTTTTCGGTGTAGAAGCCATTTACGAAAATAATGGCAATTAATTAATGTTTCAATTATTTTATAATTTAATTTATGCACTTTCACAAAAATCACTCTTTTATATCAGAGATTCTGATTGGACGATCGAATTAGACGTTGTGACGTAGCGGAATTCATTTTGGCGCTCGGGTAAGCAGACGGTAGTATTTCGTCGCTTGGCGTAAGAACTACAACGTCTGTGAGCAGGCTAACTTTTTTGGGGACACCCTGTATAACATTACCCTACAACTTAAAATATTATTATTAGCATGACAAAATTACTGGATACTGATTGGTTGAGAGAAGTACAACTATTTCATTAATTGTACTGCAGTACAATTAGGGGCGGCCAATTAGAAAAGTGATGGGGGGGGACATTTTCAATTGTACGAATATTTTCTTTAATGTTTTGCTTGTGTCGATAAATATAATAATCCCTTGCACGAATTTTTTATTTAAACTTATAATTTGCCGTATTGAAAAGTCTCTACTCGAATTATTTTTTCCGGCAAACGTTCTTGATGCACGATATTTCTTCTTTCTGTTTCCTGTGCGTGATTTTTATTTTTGCCCCCCCCCCCCCAACACTTTTCTAATGGTCTGTTCCCAAAACAAAATTAAACCGGTGAACTCTCACAAATGAAATTAGCCTAGAAGAACATCAAAAGAACTAAGGGAAAATACAAACAAATGCAGAACTGGGCTTTGACGAGAGAATATGATGTTGACATTAAGAATTATCCAATTTTGTCATGCTAATAATAAACAAGTAATCATTCAATGTTTCTCGTACAGTTAGGGATTAATAGTACTTGTGATGTTTGGAAATTTTGCCAAATTGGACTCATCGACTCACCCCGGCGGCTCGTGCAATTTTGGCAAATTTTCCAAACGTGTTAATCCCTTATTGTACTTGCCATCGCATGATTACTTATACTGTACTACCAATATATATCCTGAAAGCAGAGTCAGTTGGAAGGAGTTGGCTGGGATGGACAATATGTTTTTTTGGGAGTAATGGAGAAACTTATAGAGCTGTTAGACATACCCGATATAGACACGGATACGAAGCGGAAGTGGATCACTCAGATGTAGGCACCAGCCCACAATATTGAACTAGCAACCAAAGATATTAGAGAGATGACCACAGATTTTGACTGGTTTGTGGAACACATTTCAATAGTCAATGGCATAATTCAAACACTGAACATTCGTAAGGGACTGGAGCAGTGTCTTACAGCAGCTGAAGAACAGAACAGGAGGCTGTATAGACTGACAAATTTAAGCACAACTAGATTTTCTGCCTGTTTTGAGCGATCATTGTCTAACTTTGAGAAGGATTTTCCAGTCATTGTTCAAGCTCTGCAAACCAGGTCTATAGAGAGTGGAGAAAAAGATGCGAGGGAGCATGCCTCGAATTCATTAAATCCAGTTATCCTAACTAGGGTTACTAGTGGACCCCTCAATATGGAGAATGCCTATATTAAAAGGAATGGCCTACTATTAACCCTATTTGTACTGGGAGTGTACAAATGTGCACACTCCAATGAATTTACCGGTGGTGTATAATTTTTAATATTCTTACAAAAAAAGCAAAAAATATGATTATTATATTCAATTTACAGAATTTATGAGGGTGTATCCTGTCAGCTTCCCCTTCCCCGGTAAAATTAACCTCCAAAAATCCCGGTCCAAATAGGGTTAATGAGTATGAAATCATCTTTGATAGCCATTAAATGTTACTGCAAAAAAATAGTTGCCCCATTGAATCCTCATTGCCCCAACCACTACATTAATTATGAGCTCTTTCAAAGTCACTCTTCATGACTTGATATCTTATTCATATTTTTTTAATAATTATTTTTCACAATATTTGATCACACTCATTAATAGTAGGCCATTCCTTTTAATATTTATTTATTTAACTTTGCCATCTATGGCCGGGACACCGCAACAGCATTTCGCCAATTACTGCGGACCCATTGTTAGTAGTGGATAGTACCTAGCGGTTACTCGCCGGTTAGTTATAAATTTATGAGGGAGGAAACCGGAGTACCCGGGGAAGACCCTCGAAGCACAGGAGAGAACTAACCAATCTCAACTTACATGAGTGTAAGGAGCACACTGAGATATTCACTCACGACTCTCCCAGTGTCCTCAACTTGCCGTATAGCAGGCTTAACTCAGTGGTAAGAGGCAGTTTGCTAACTGCTCTACCACCCGTGCTTAGGCATTCTCCATATTGAGGGGTCCACTAGTAGCCCTAGTTAGGATAACCGGACTCCACTTGGATGCATTTTTGAGAAGTTGCCCCAGGGGTGTAGGAAGCTGGGTGGCCACTCCCCCAATATTTTATGTGGGGGGCCGGATAACTTTCAAAATTGCAGAGAAGTATTTGGAGGAAAACAAACAGGCTAGCCCTAGTTAAAATAGGGATGATGGCCCTATATTTGGATATTCAGAGCTCTTAATAGTGGGGGGAGGGGTGCCCATATTAAATGTATTAATCGCCCAATATTCTGTAATGTTCTGTAATGTTTTTAACAATTTGGAGACTCAAACGGAGAGCACATCATTGATCATTGATCACTGACTCTGAATCGCAACAATTTAGATTGTCTTTAAGGTTGTTTAGCATTTAAATTGCGTTATGTTTTACATGATTATCTTGCGAAATTTCCGTATTAAACTTTATGCATTATTCATTTTTGTGTGCTTATGCAAATCCGGTCAATGTTCAGGAACACAGATGCGACTTTATAAACCACCAGCCAAGGCAGATCAAATTTCCTGTCACCATGTAGTAAACAGTAAAATATGCCAGCACGTTTATATATTTATTTGGCAATCGTGGTTGTTACCAAATTAAATAAATACAAGGACTATTCAATGGCATGTAGTAAAACACTGACTACCGGAACACCACCGGAACACCAGAACACCACCTAACCCTAACCCCAACCCCCAACCCTAACCCTAATCCTAACCCCAAACCCAAATCCTAACCCCAAACAAAATGGTGGTGTTCCGGTGGTGTTCCGGTGTTCCGGTAGTCAGTGTTTTACTACATGCCCTATTCAATTACCCACCTCTCACTCCTGGACAGGAATACATGAGGGAGTTTGTTTCTTTTCTGAGTTGCAAAGCAACAATTTATACAGAACAATTAACTCATACCAAAGCTTCATAAATTTTATTGAGAACAGGTGTACTCATTGAGTCATATGACCTGCGGATTATGAGACGTATGACCATCTCAGAAATAAATAACATTCAGATATTTGTCAGTTCCAGTTTCTGAAAAGTACTGGCAACCATTATGTTGTGCTCATTATCGCAAACAAATCTGATTAGCCTATGCGTGCAAGGATGTTAATTTAAGACATGTAATTTAGTTTAGCCTCAGTTTATTATGATATATAGAAATACATATAGGTATTGGGTATGAAGTGTAATCCCTTGTACAGTATATCAACTATACTGTATACTTTACTGTATAGTTATCAGATCTGACCAAAATCCTTGTGACGAAGAAACCTTATTAATAGTAAAGCTGGATATTTTTCTTAGGCTTGGATACAAGTTCAGCAGAACATAACAATGGACAGGTGTTCTTGTGCCAAAACAGTATATATTATACATCCCGGAACTTATACTGAAAGTTTTTGAGACAGAAGTGAATAAGTTCTTAGGAACAGTGGCCAGTAGAAACTCATGTTGAAATATATCAATCAAGGCTTAAATTATTTCCTACAGTACATTTCATTAACAATAATAAATCCATCATATACAAACTGTTACTACTTACAAACTAACCCATGAATATGAATATAAAGTCCAGGTTGCAAACTGCAAAGCATATTTGAAGGAACAAACATATTATATGTATAATTGTTGTTATGCAGCAGTTGGCATAACAATGCATGTCCACAATTGCATCACTATAAATGGTGTTGTTGTCCTCATATAAAATTGTAAATAATACAGTGTATTTTTGTAACACAAGAGATTACAATATCTGTTGCATCTTGAGCTTTTCTGTTATTCATACAGCAACCGAAATCTTTTCTATGGCACGCGCTGGAACAAAAAAGCTGTTTAACATGCTTTTGCAAGGACAATAATTCACCTTTTGGCTTTTTTCACGGAGAAAGGCCCTGCGACAAGAACACGTTGTATATCATCTACAAAATTGTACATATTTCGGCACTGCAGCTAAAACTTTCGATCACATATAATTCGAAATGGTCAAGAAAGAGGCTTTCTCAACTCTGGCAACATGTTTCGAAGCGAAGGAGAGATACCACATGAAGCAAATGTAAACACTCGCACTTTCAGGATATTTTCGCCGCTCCAGTTGTTAAGTTTTGATCCATCGGCTCACACAAAGTTCAAAGCGGCCTTGTTATTCCCAATTTTTAAATCAAAAGTCATATAAATAATTTAAAAGTATATATGAAATTCAGACGAAGTTGATTTATAAAACAAAGCACTCCTTTGTCTTTCATTGTTTCGAATGCGCTTAATGAATTATGATATACTTCATGTAATATGATCAATGTGGATCAAAATGTAAACAAAACATGTAAACAAAGCCCGCACATGCGCAGAAGGGACTGTAACCTACCTTTATACAACAGGCTCAAAGCATATTTCATAATTATATATTTAGTTTAATATATAATTATTATGAAATATTATGTAATAAGATCATAAGAGCTATATTTATTGACCAATGAATGACCGCCACAATTCCTGTCGCTAGCTGCAAGTATTTGATGTAGAGAAACCATTTTCTGGGGGTTATGGATCCATTTCACTCCCATATGACATGAAGTATTTACTATCATTCCCTATTGCGCTATTAAAAACTGGGATATTAACTCTGTTGTTTATGGTGGGGTTTCACTGTATTAAACTGCTTCATATATTTATTTCCTATGAAATTAATGAAAGTGGTGAACGTTTTAGTGTTCATTTTAGAGGTAAGCAACATGCTTTCATTAGCCTTTTGGCAGTTTTAACAGAACACAATAGCGCAGATTGGTCAAAACAACATTAAAATAGGGGTCATGTTGGGAAATGATGGGGGATTAGCCTTTCCTATATTTGTAGCAGGTGATTTAACAAAAATTGAACTAGCCATGGTTGTATAACACTGAGAATAACATACTACTGTACCCATGGTGATTTTGCCTGTTGAGGCAAAAGCAACACTAAACTACCTGTGGTGGCATTGGCAAGGGCTGAAACTCCATGAGGCACATCGTACATTTCTCATTTCCGATCTGCAAATGTAGCTCATATAGTGAAATATTTGTTTTGTTAGTGGGAACCAATGGTGCAAGCAGCATTGGATAATGGGGAATTGACTGTGGAGAACAAAAATGCATTAAACAGACAACTATGCACATCTCTATATGCATGTACAGATAAAGTAACAAAGTCCGAGAGAGACCATGTAGCAATGAGGCTTGTTAAAAAGTATCCTTGCTTGAAAAGTCCTGTTGGAGCTGGCCATGTAAGTACTAATAATATATTACTTATTTTTTTCTTAGTTCTTTTGCATGTCAGTTGACCTTAATGTTAAAATAATGAGAGGATTTAGAAGGCCGGCAAACTTCAAAGTAATATGTGACCTTCTTCATAACTTGGTTGAAGAGTACCGTTCATCACATGGCCCGTTAGGGTGCACAAAGCATTTATTTGTAATACAATTCACTAGGGGCAAGGTGTAAGATATTATACAAAGTAAATGCTTTACCCCCAGGAAAACAATATAACTAAACACCACCACAACAACAACAACAACAACAACAACAACAACAACAACAACAACAACAACAACAACAATTTTTATTCCAACCATAAAAGTAATTTACAATATGAATATATATTGGCTAGGTTGGTATTGGTAAAAACCTAGAAAAACCATACGGGCTTATCAAGCTAGGCAACCAAATACTCAGAGACAGTAAAAGTCCTTGGACTAATTAAATAAATTTTATCGGTCGGTCGGAATAGTGTACAGAATACTACACAAAAAAACAAAACAAAAAAAACAAAACACAAATACACAAATAGAGAAACAATTTTTAAGTTAATTAATAATAAAGGGTGCACAAGCTACTATCGTTTAGTAGCTTTCGATATATAAAAATTTTAATTTTTTTTTCAGAAAAGCCAGAGATGAGGTCTTGATTTTACTATCAATAGAATTCCATATTTTAGGCCCCTGAAATCTAATATTAAACATACCATAATTTGTTCTTGGTTTAGGAAGAGAATAAGATTGGTTAGATGATAACCTTGTATTATAATTATGTAATTGGTCAACAGGCACAAAAAAGAGATTAAATGTAGAAGGCATGAGAGAGTTGTGAAACTTAAACATAAGAACAGCAGTGCAAATATTGACTAGGTCTTGTAATTTGATGAGATTTACATATTTAAAAAGAGGACTACTATGGTCACAGTAGGATGAGAATGTGATAATTCGTATGGCACGTTTTTGTAGTACAATTAAAGGATTTATAATTGTTTTGTAGGTATGCCCCCATGCAATTAAAGAGTAGATAAAGTAAGGATAAACTAGAGCATAATATAAGCTAACAAGAGTTGCTTGATCAACAAAATATCTTACTTTAGAAAGCAGTCCAACATTTTTTTTAATCTTTTTCGTTAAATAATTAACATGTTCTTTCCATTTGAGATTGCTATCTACGATAACTCCAAGATATTGGATAGATTTCATTTCCTTAATAGATTGATCGCAGATTGTGAGTTGTACCGAAAATGGCGGCTTTTTTGGCTAGGATGAAATATCACAAAACTGGATTTACTTATATTTAGGGAGAGTTTATTAGAACATAGCCAGCTGTCCACTAGCTTGAGTTCGGCATTAATTAAAGATTCAAGTTCCAATAAACTCTTACTAGCATAGAAAAGATTAGAGTCATCAGCAAATAGATGAATATCAAAAATTTTAGAGCTTTGATTAATATCATTAACATACAATAGAAACAACAAGGGACCCAGAACTGAACCTTGAGGAACTCCACATGGATTAATAAGATGGCTTGAACATTTCTGACCAATTGAAACAAATTGTTTACGTTCTGTTAAATAAGAAACGAACCAGTCATATGCGACTCCTCGTATGCCATAATGCTCAAGTTTTTGTAGCAGAATTGAATGGTTTACAGTATCAAATGCTTTGCTTAGATCTAGGAAAATGCCACATGAGAATTTTCCATCCTCGACAGCATGTTCAATTTTATCTATAATGGATAAAATAGCATGTTCTGTAGAGTGTTTTTCTCGAAATCCAAACTGTTTGCTGTAAAGAATATTAAACTTCTCAATATAACTAATTAGTCTTTTGTACATTAACTTTTCTCAAATACGATTAAAAATACTTAGTAAAGAAATTGGTCGATAATTTTCACACAAAGTTTGAGTTCCCTTTTTGAAGACAGGAAGTACTCTGGCTAGTTTAAATTGTCTTGGTACCGTACCTGAAGAAAATGAAAAATTAAATAAAATCTCCAGTGGTTTAGAGATTAAAAATTTTAGAAGCTTTAAAATTTTGGTGGGAATACTAAAAGGTCCAGTGGCCTTACTTTCATTTAGAGTTGAAATTTCATCCACTATTTCAGATTCTGATACAGGGAAAAGATAAAAAGAATTATCTAATTTAGGAGGAAGATATTGCAATGGGGTAGTATTACTTTGACGAATACTATTAGCCAGACAATACCCAATATTGCAAAAAAATACATTAAATTCATTTGCTATTTTTGTGATATCAGGTTATTTCAATGCCATCAACTGTTATTTTTGGTGGTGGTTGAACTCTTTTTGGCTTAGTAGTTATAATTTGTTTAATACCTTGCCATGTCTTTTTTATATTATTTTTGTTGTTTGTAAAATAGTTGTTGTAATAATTTCGTTTGGATACTTTAATTAGATGATTTAATTTATTCCTGTATAATTTCAATTTAGCTTGGACTTCATTTGATCTTGTCCTAATAAAGTTTTTAAATAGTTTATTTTTTTTCTTTATAGCAGTCCTAATACCAGTTGTAATCCAGGGTTTTTTCTGCTGTTTAGATTGCTTTCGTGATAATTTTCGCAAAGGGATATGCTTATCAATAATACCTGAAATAGTTGAGTGAAAAGTGTTGAAAAGATCATCAGAATTATGACAATGAGATAAAATTTCTTTCCAATCTAAAATTCTAATCTCATCACACAGAGCGATCTCATTCAATTTTGAATAATCTCGACTATAAATGTCTGTTCTGCATTGTGAAATGGTCATGTTGTTTATAAGCAAAAAATTTGGGAGGTGGTCAGAAATGTCGTAAATCAGATTCCCACTTATTAAGTCATGATCAATAGAATTAAAGAAGATATTGTCTATTAGAGTTTCAGAATGGTCAGTTATTCTTGTAGGTTGGAGGATATAAGGTTGGAAAGAGTAAGTCCCTAGAGCATTAATAAATTCCTCACTTTGTTGATGTTCTTCATACTTAAGTAAATCAATGTTAAAATCGCCTATGATTACACAATGTTTCCTTTCTCTATGAACTTTATCAATAGTAGAATTTAAATAGTCCATAAATGTAGAAATATTTCCATGCGGATGTCTGTACATAACTGCACATAGGACGTTTCTTTTAGATTTATCAATAAGCTCTATCCACAGGGCTTCAAAATCATTTGTTGTAATCGAGACCTCATCTCTCTTAATAAATTTCAGTTTATTTTGTATAAAAAAACCTACACCACCTGCATTTGACATGCTTGGTTGAGATAAAAAGGTGTATCCAGGTATCTCAGTATTTAGTAGGCTAGCTTGATCGAATCTATGCTTTGTCTCTGAGAGGCCAATGACAGAAAATTGATGATTTAGTTCAGAAACCATGCTGGTTAATTGATTGCAATTGGCTCCCAAACTTCTAATATTACTATGCAAGATAGATAGATAATTACTAAGTAATAAACATTCCTGAATATTTGCATTGTTACAAAATTCCTGTGGTGTATAATAATTAAAGTTTAAGTTATTTGGGGGAATAAATAAGTCAGAATCACAAACATTTGCATAAGGGACACTCCTAATAGTTTCGGATAGTTTTAAATATGGCAGGGAAGTAAAATCATATTCGTCTGTCAATCTAGTGATAATTCCAGCCAGTGGCGTAGCCAGCCTGACTATTTGCTCCTGCTATGCAAATATGTCTGTGTTCATAGACTGTAAAAACAATGAATTTCTAAAGAAATGAATAATGATAATGCTTTGAAATTTACATAGCAGGAGTAAAATTTCAGGCTGGCTACGCTACTGATTCCAGCAGTATTAGTATGACTGGACATATCTATGACTATGGCTACTTATCTGTATATTCTGTTCAATGAATTTTAGATTCAATATCCTTCTCACAGCTGATTTGAATGACATTAGTGGAATCTTCCTTGCGCATAAATATTTTCCCCTGGGAGGTCCAAATGTACTTGAAGTGACGATCCTTCTTTGCTTGTAGAGCTTTACTAAATAACACTTTATTTGCTCTTGTCAGGCTCTCTGCAATGAACATTCTTTCACCGGTATTGAGATTAAGATTTAGGTCATTAACAGTTTTCCCTCGAAGTATATTTCGTGCTCGGTAGAATTCTTTGCATTTCTTGCATCTAACAAACTTAACAATAATAGTAGGATTCATTGGTCGTCTTTTATAACTGCTTCGAGTCTCCATTTGCGCCGGCATGTTATTAACAGGCAAACGATGACAGATCGAAATGTCATCTGAGCATAATTCAACACCAATACAATCTGCTACATGCTTTACAATGTCTTCTGTATTCTCTCTTGAAATGTCTCTACTTATTACAGGTATACCACGTAACTCCAGACATTCCCTACGAGAATATTGCTCAAGATCATTTAGAGCTGCTTGATACGTGTGTAGACAATCTTTGGCGACTTTTAGGTCCGATTTTAGCTTTACGATCTCCTTATCGGAAACTTTCTTGGCCTCTTCTAGTTTCTTCAGTTTACTTAATGCGTCATCCACTTTATTACTAAGGAAGGAGAGAGATTTCGAGGCGTCTTCAACCTTCCTGTCGATTTCACAAAGTTTATCGGTAATAATTTCAAGTTTAGAATCTAAAAGCGACTCTAAAGTCTTTTGTTGTTTCTCTGTTAACTTCTCCGACATGACAAATACAATAATGTACACAAACAATAAAAATAGCATTGACTAATGGGCTAATAGCTCGGTAATGGTTGAACCTTTCCCTGAGCTATAAATTCGGCCGCCATCTTGTCGTGCTGTCCAATGTGGGGATGTATTAATTTCTGTCCGGATTAAACATATTTTTACAAAATAATATAATTCTTATAAATACTTATTTCTTATTCTTAAAAATATAGCTTGTGCATTGACTCGACATGTTGAGTTTACGCCTATAGGCTGAAAATATTTGGACAATTAATTTCGGCTATAATTGAGTGATAAAAGTGTGATAAAACTGATATCACCTCACCACTCATGTGATAACCTATACTTATTTTACCGTGCAAGCCAAAATTTTGTTACTCAATTTTATTAATTGGTTTCTGCAGTCATTCTGGGCAAAAAAGATAAAAGATAGATTTGAAAACCTAAACAAGAAAAAGAATAAAGAAATAAAAAAGGCATTTCAACAAGAAGGAAAAGAGGTCCCAAAAGGAAAACCAGGTATGAAAAAGAGCATTCATCTGACTTCTGTCATTCCAGCTATTCCTGAGGGGGAAACAGATCAAACATATGCCATGCAAAAGAAGCGGATAAGTGACCAATGGAAAAAGAACAAAAAGGACCGTTCGCTTCTACGGAATTTGATGATTTCTACATATCCAATGCGTAGAAGAGAGATTATCACCATGAATCTTAGAGTGTGGCAAGTTTTGGAGGCCTTCCCTCCTTTGGGATCAAGTACAGGATCTGAGGTAGACTATTCAGCATTGTATAGCATGCATGTGATACATTAATAAGTACAATATTTAACCCTAGAAATAGACCAGTAAACAGGTAAATAAACATTGAAAAATTTAATATAAATGTACTGTATGTAACAATGAAGTACAGTACATGTATAATTACTAAAGTTTTTCTAACGTTTGTACCTGGAATGGGGAATTGCAGTCAGTTGTGCTTTGTGCATATTTATGTGTTCAAAGACTTTAAGTTATCCATTCTATAATCCCTAGTAAGTTTCCACTGCTTTTATAGACAATCCTTAAATACTTATGTTTCTCGACAAAGTTGAAATTCAAAGAATGCTATTGTGTGATCCTCACTGTAGTTAACATTATGAATTTATGAAGAAATGATTTAGTATTTAATTGAAGAAGATTTGATTTGTCAAATACACATTACATGTTTTCATACAGAACTCTTATTAATTTAGATACGAGCAGAGTTAGGCAGAATCCTACAGGAACCTGATATTAATAAAGACATAAAAGAGCGTTTTAATGGAGGCTGGCGAGAGCGAATCCTCTCTCACATGAGAAAATCGTCGCATCGTTGTCTACAAGAGATAATGGAAATGGCAGAAGGAGTTGAATTCTTGGATGAAAATGGTGGGTGTAATATATGACTTGACAGCAGTACAGAATTTATTACTTTTAGTAAGATCTTTATTTCTGCATGGGTATAATGTTATCCATGGGTTTTAGTTTTACTTATTGCCACTGTTCTTGCTGACTGAGAAGTCTATCCATGCTTCAAATAAAGCTGCTGTACTGTACAACCGTTAGATTGTCTGAAACTAGGCCACACGAGCTCGAGATTGACAAGATCCCTCTGTGATTCAACGTGTAAAAGATATGTGTATGGTTAACTGATATTTTTTATCGTATTGTGTTTCAGAAGTTCAAAATCGATGTATCATGGCTGGACTCCCTTTTTTACTTTTTGATACAAAGAAACAGGTGCGGATCTAGGATTTTTCAAACATAAGTCGAACGCCGAAGGCGTGAGACATGCTAGGGGGGTGAGATTTTGCAGAATTCCAAATATTATAAAGTACATCAAGCACATGCTTTTTTTATGATCTCACAAACGTGCCTTCTCCCAGTCCTCGGAATTAGATTTACTAACGGAGGGTCATATTACAAAACACATCATGTAGTTTCAACTTTCAATAGCCTTTGAGTTTGGCTCATGAAATCCTTCGCAAATTGAAGTGATATGATACCAATGGCCGATCCAATATAACTCGCTGTTTGTGAATCAAAATTCTCAAGCAAAATAAAGAGTAATATTTCAATTATACTTTGTAAAATGCATTTTTTATTCAATGAATTACAATATGCTATAAATATCACTTGTATATTATAACGATATTCATCGCAAATCTTTCGTGCAATGCAAATCATCCAAATTATATTGTTTTAACCCTCCAATGCCAATGCGCTATTCTGGCCCTTTTGATAATGGACAATGCATTTATAAATTATAAATACAGCAGGAAAGCTGTAAGGCCCGAAAGCGCATTGTAAGTTGCAAGTCGATAAGTCGATTGCGTGTAAAAATGTATTAAAGCGTGTTATATTTCAACTTCGCATTTATCATACAAGATACATTGCAATATATTCATTTCTGTTTCATAATTTTGGATATTTTCATACATTATAGCAGTGAACACTTTCCCTTTGGCTTTACCACCCAAATTACGACCATGATCTTTGTGATTTATTGTGAAGCACGTAGCAGAGAAGTCCCAACTTAGTGCCTTCTCGTTGTTGAACAGAACAACATTATAAAAGCTGCTCGCTTGATGTCTTACCTGCCCCACAATAATATATCCTCATTCAGAGACAATTCAAGTTTATTAAAGGCCGTTAAATCGTCTCGTAAAATCGGCCGCGTACATATAAATACTCGATATCGTAAAATAATTCTCCCAACTATGAAAAACCTTCATATACGGGAATATGAAGGACTGCTTTGCATGAATTTCGCAATTTTCAAGGACTGATATCCCTGCCGCGAATAAGTCCGAATCAGTCCAAAAAAATGAACCAATAGAAATTGTCAATAATTTCAAATTGACCAATCAAAATGAAGGAAATGGACTTATAAAAACTCCCTTAAAGTGCAAATCAGTCGGACCACCCCATAAAAACTCCCTTAAAGTGCAAATCAGTCGGACCACCCCATAAAAACTCCCTTAAGTTGCAATTCAGTCCGACCACCCCACAATATTTTCAAATTGACCAATCAAAGGAAAGAAATGGCCTGAAAAAGACTCCCTTAAAGTGCAAATCAGTCCGGCCACCCCACAGATCAGTCGAGATAAGTCCAAATGACCTCTCGACCAATCAAATGAGCATAACGACCACCCGATTCTGCGAGATTCTTGCGTTTTACCGCTGCTCTAGATAAAGCATATATTTATTCAAAACTGAGCTCGTAAAGACGTATACTGGACTATGATATGAATTTCATATTATATTCGGGAATTAATTATTCAAATTTCGAAATAATAAATTAATTATTTCTTTGCAAAAATACGTCAGTCACGCGACTGATTGGACTTACCCTAGATCCGCCCCTGCAAAGAAAGATACTATGTCATGTAGCAAATCATTTTGGATAAGGGCTAAGGTATGAACTATTCATTTCTGCATAATGTGGCATGGATTTTGCACTGGTGTAGGTGCATAGCCATGGTGTAAATTTCCTTTACCTGTATGGCAATCTTCAGGTTAATTACCCTTGCCTTGTCTGAACTATATGAATTACATATGTATATATTTATTTCTGTTGTTGATTTTTAATAGAGTGAAGATGAAGACAAAGTTTTGGACGACCTTATTAACCTGACAAAGTCACCAAGACTCTTGAGTACCGGAAATCTCACTGATATTGATGAGCTCTGCCTTGCCGCACAAGGTATGGTTATTTGTCGATTCAGACCTGCAAACATTCTAAATGCTGTCGTAACTCTACTTAGAAGCTATTACGTATTCAATATGGAATTTCCGAAAGGTGCAAGTGGAGTGGAGAAGGCACTTTTCTTATTTTTGGAGCATATATTCATTGGTCAGTGCAGTGCCAATTTACCACTTAAAGTTGAAAATCTCGTTTCGGATTTGATGGTATGAACATTTTATATGTAGTACCTTTCAATGTGCAATAATTTGTACACAAACATTTTTGACAGAACTGAATGTTATCGTTTGAGTTGAGCTATATCTAAAACAATCATTATTTGTTGGGTTGATAATTACATATATATATACATATGGCATTGGCCATAGTTAAACTAACCGTTTTTGTTATATTATGTATATGTTAGATTCGTTGAAATATATATATATATATATATATATATATATATATATTATATAAAGAATCTTAAATCAGCCTGTCTTTTGTGTTTGTTTTGACCTGTTCTATTTGATTAAAATTGACAACCTATTATGAATAGTCAAAACTACCATATGTTAACCAATTTAATTGTTTACACCAGATTCACAGCAAAATCCAAAAAAGTGAGGTTAAAACAACTATAAATAGTAGTTTCTTTAACCAATTAAATTCAGTTGATATTTGTTTGATTACCCAATTTTAACAGTTATCTTAACCTGTAGAAATAGATCAATATATATAACCTGATAAAAAAGGTTGAATAACAACCTCTCTATTCTAGTTTGTTTTAAACGTTATTATAACCTTGAAAAAATGGGTCAATGTAGCCATTAATTAATGTAGTATTAACCAATAAAAATATAGTTACCACAGATTCAACTTGTGACCTATTATTTTGGGTTGTTTTAGGTTATTTGATTTTACAGTGTGGTGATGTGTCTCCTAATCCTGGACTGGTAACTGAATATACTACAAACAACAGCGCAGAAAGAGAAGTAATGTATCCTAAGTTCTCGTTTGAGTCCAAAGGACTTCGACTTGGCCATCTAAATGTTAGATCACTCCCGAGACACCTGGACGAGATTAAAGCTTTGGTTTGTTTAAATAATATGGATATCTTCGCAATGAGTGAGACATGGTTAAACTCTACTTGGAACGATTGTGAACTGAGTGTTGACAACTACACGATATATCGATTGGATCGAACTGGTAGTTCAACCTTGAGGAGTTCAACCAAGGGCGGTGGTGTAGCAGCTTATGTGAAGAACTCACTTCTTTCTCGCCGTGTCAATTATTCAGACTCAGGTATTAACTTTGAACACCTTTGTCTGGAAATTAAGCAACATCAATCAGGCCCCAAATTTCTGTTTATATCTATTTATCAGCCACCTGACTCCGATGCTGAATTTTACAACGTACTCGGTAAGCTATTAGATATTGCATCTAGTAAATACAATGAAATTATTGTCGTGGGAGACTTCAATGTTGATTTATTAACATCAGGCCATCCAGCCAGGAAACTGTCTAATGTTTTTGGTGACAATGGCATGCATCAAATTGTCAATAATCCGACTCGAGTCACACAACATCTACATTGATAGATCATGTGTACGTCACTCATAAGGATCGAATTGTAGAATCCTTTGTGCCGGTATATGGCCTTAGTGATCACTACCCCGTATTGTTTGTCCATAAATTTCGCGGTAAAAATATCCCTAAATCCCATCATGAAACTATTTCCTACCGCAAACTAAAGAATATAGACCGGTCTAGTTTTCTTGACGATTTAAATTCAGCACCATGGACATTATTAGAAATTTTTCAAGATGTGAATGACAAATTGGACATTTGGGATTTAATTTTCAATGAAGTTCTTGACCGTCATGCTCCCTTGATGAAGAAAAGGGTAAAATCTAAGCAACTACCACCCTGGTTAAATAGTGACATTTTACATCACATGCACTTGAGAGATCAATTTAAAGCACGGGCCAAATCAAATATTCTTGCCAATGTTATTTACAAACGACTTCGGAATGCAGTCGTTAAAATTATTGGTAATGCAAAATCAACATATATTAAGGACGAAATTGAATCTAATCTGAATAATCCAAGAAAATTATGGAAAACACTAAAACGTGTTGCACCTACCAAGCCCGCTTCATCATGCCCTCTTTTATACAAGTTGACGGCCATCAAATATCTGATCCTACGGCCATAGCAAACGCGTTTAACGAATATTTTATTGAATCACAAACGTCTACAACTCCCATCTCATGTATTGATGAGAATGGAGAAGATCTGATTAAACAGCACCTGCAAAACTTTGTTAATGATCGTATTGATGAGTCGATGCAATTTCTTATACCCGAAATCAGTAGAAACCAAGTCAAACAGGACTTTGCGAAAATTGCTTCAAATAAAGCTACTGGTATTGATGCATTTGGAATTAAGGTCTTAAAGATGGCATTACCAGCAATTGTGCCAAGTTTAACGCATATTTATAATGGAAGTATCACAACCGGAAGCTTTCCAGTAAAGTTTAAGCAGGCGAAATTATGTCCAATTTACAAGAAAGAAAGTGTACATGAAAGAAACAATTATAGACCGATCTCTGTTCTTCCTATTATATCCAAACCTTTAGAACACCACGTTGCTGCTTCCTATCTTGAATACCTTAATTCTCATGGTCTCCTCTATCTATATCTATATCTATAATCTCTATCTCTATCTATCTATCTAAGTAGTAATATAGAGGCCGTTCGACCCTTATTTTTGTGGTGGAGTGTGGTGGAGTGTGGTGGAGGGAGGGTGCGTAATGACGTCACTCATTAGCATACGTCATAATTATATGCAATGACGTCACACGGGCAGGTTTAAACAAGGACGTGTGAAACTTGCTGACTATGCATTTTTTAGCGTCCCTCCACGTGTATGATACAATAGTTAGGGCTATACACAAGAGAATATGTTGTTGTCTGGAGTTTTATAAGTACAGCTCTAGCATTTTGCTGTGATTGTCAAGTGATTCCTTTAATTTAGCTCCTAGAGGAGTAAAAAATCTGATACTATATGAAATAGCATTAGTGTTATATATCTAAAACTTATATATTCGGGGTATACAGCTATATGTTTTGTTGTTAAGTAATATATAAATATTATCAAAACGCTGAGAAATAGCATGCGGTAAGAGTTATTATGTATCTACAATTAAACTAATATTTAAATCCCGGTCTGCCATATGAGGTCTATATACGAGAGAATATGTTGCTGTTTAGAGTTATATAAACACATGGAAATTAGAGGTTATGATATATAATTGTCAAGCCATTTCTATATTTTATTGCTAGTTTTTTAAAGTACTAAAACTGGAATAAGGTTAATAAATTTAAGCTATATTAAAGCACACCGGTTGCTATGTGTTGTTAGGGTGACACTAATTAAAGGATTAACTTTTATCAGAGATTTGCATTTTTCTACTGTGTGGATAAATACGGGTAGATTAGGATATTCATTGCTCGGGCGTCGCGGTTTATCCGTGCGCGAAGAGAGAAAGCGATTTAGACAAGACAGGAGCGCTTTGCAGCCAAAAGTTGAAAGACTTTGTGTGGAATCCTGTAATGGTTGTCAAGTCGGTCATCCTAGTCAAAGACAACATGACTGCCGCATGATGAACAAAAACGAACGAGGGCAAATAAGGAATCTATTTGTCACAAAAATCATATTTTAAACATATTTTAGACATATTTTAAACTAAACAGTTCCTAATCCCGAGTTGTCAACGTCGTTGTTAAGGTCAATATTTACATGTTGTTCAACGTTATTTTAACAAATATTCTACATACATATATACTGTTAAGATGACCGAGTCAGATCATAAGTAAGCTTATCAAGAATATAAGTTAGAATTGGAACAGTTGTAATATATTTTGTGATAAAAACATGTAATTGTTATATACGTTGTTATGTGTTACTAAGTAATTAGCGACGCTTGCGTGCATGCATATATTAACGTACAACATATTTGTACACTAATCAGGCGGGCGGATCGCGCGGGCAGAAAGAGCGGGCTTTGCCGGCAAAAATTAGTATGGTCTACTTCTAAGAGCGTAACGTCTAGGTGTTTTTGTTATTTTTAAAGAGTTCTCATATTCTTGTCTATCTTCTGGAGATAACTTTGCAACGTCTTCATCCTTCATTGGAATATATTTTGGCCTCTCGCGAAGTAATCTTTGTTCGTAACCTTCTCTTTGTTCAGGGGTCATCATTGCCAAATCTTGGGGCCTCCAATCTGTAGAGTCTACCCAATTGTGGAAAAAGTTGTGCTTGAGTTTTGGCCGTTCCTCTTCTGTTGGTGGTGGTGTAAGGAAATTAGGTTTAGGAGTCGTAGGCACTGGTGTTGGTATTTCCGCTATTACAGGCATAGGAGGCGCTTGTGGTGGTATCTCTGCAGGCACTAGTGGAGTTGTCAGAACAGGAGCTTGAGTCGGAACATCCATCTTATTTTTGAATGTGAGAAACCGATTTAGTTGATCAGAGTATAATTTGCTTTTTTCCACTGCGCTAATCTGTGGTGCATCCATGATTTCTTTCATTCGCTGCTCAGCATCATACATGGCATTAACAAGTGGTGGTTGTCGATACGACTGTTTGTGTAAAAACTTTGCAATCTCGCCGGGAAGTACGTTTGTCTTGAGTCGTTGTTGATCATCTGTTGTCGGCTTTAAATCCAACATCAAATACCCGTGAGGCCGGCTCGTAGCATCTTCATAACTCCTCATAAACTCTTGTACTTTGCCGGGATTTATTTGCCTTGCAAGCATAGAAATTTGTTGTTTATCTCTTGGTGACTTGAACAATACGATATAATGCGCGTTTAGACTAATATTTCTCATTTCTTTGCCCTGATGAAATATATTTTGGACAATATAGATGACAGACAAATTTCGATGATGACTTCCTTTCGTAAAAAGATCAGAAATACGTTTATCTTTGCCAGATTGAGCCATAAGATCATCCAATACGATCAAATTCTGTTGCGATACGTCCGAGTAATCTGCGTTGTCGATGTCTTCGGGGATGCCTTGATTAAACTCGATTCCAGGCATCGTTCTCATCATATCAAAATAGGAGGGTTGCCATTGACCATAACACCAAATGATACGTTGAGGAGCAGGACTTATAGTTTTCTGTGCATTCTCCAAGAGAGATTTTACCCACACAGTCTTGCCGCTTTGGGTACACCCAGCTACGATACATGTGAAAGGATGCTGCAAAACTGTAGATCCTGCTGAGATTTCAACTAGTTTGCTCTGAACATCTCCATGGGTATTCAAAGTATGACGCTTGAGGTTGCCGCGTGTTGAAAATACTTTGGCACATATATTGCACGGAACGGACATGTTCACACCACGAACGTCTAGCTAGAAGTGATAATAAGTTGGCGTATTCGTTCTATATATTCATTAATGCATCTATCCAGTATTATTCTGTATCTTTATCTTCCTTATCTTTATCCTTATCTTTATCTTTATATTCTTTATCTTTATCTTCTTTATCTTTATCCTTATCTTTATCTTCCTTATCTTTATCCTTATCTTTATCTTCCTTATCTTTATCTTCTTTATCCTTATCTTTATCTTCTTTATCTTTATTCTTATCATTATCATCCTTATCCTTATCTTTATCTTTATCCTCTTATCTTTATCTTCCTTATCTTTATCTTAATCTTTATCCTTATCTTTATCTTCGTTATCTTTATCTTCTTTATCCTTATCTTTATCTTCCTTATCTTTATCTTCTTTATCTTTATTCTTATCATCATTATCTTCCTTATCCTTATCTTTATCCTCTTATCTTTATCTTCTTTATCTTAATCTTTATCTTTATCTTCCTTATCTTTATCCTTATCCTTATCTTTATCCTTATCTTTATCTTCCTCATCTTTATCTTTATCATCTTATCTTTATCCTTATCTTTATCATCCTTATCTTTATCTTCCTTATCTTTATCCTTATCTTAATCTTTGTGTTCCTTATCCTTATCTTTATCTTCCTTATCTTCCTTATCTTTATCCTCTTATCTTTATCCTTATCTTTATCTTCCTTATCTTTATCTTTATCCTCTTATCTTTATCCTTATCTTTATCTTCCTTATCTTTATCCTTATCTTAATCTTTATGTTCCTTATCTTTATCCTTATCTTTACCTTATCTTATCTTTATCCTTATCTTTATCTTCTTATCTTTATCCTTATCTTTATCATCTTTATCCTTATCTTTATCTTCTTTATCTTTATCCTTATCTTTATCTTCTTATCTTTATCTTCCTTATCCTTATCTTCCTTATATTTATCCTCTTATCTTTATCCTTATCTTCCTTATATTTATCCTCTTATCTTCCTTATCTGACATGCACAAGGAGCCAAGTTCGATAAGCTCAGAATCGAACTCTCAATAACTCGGAGCCTTGTATAAATTGCTTTCTCTCTTCCGATATAAGCTTCCTTATTGTTGTGTTTTACTCATTTGCTTCCAAACCGTCGAACAGAAATGATCAATCTTCTAAGGCACAAGCCATATCTTGAATTGTTGGGCACGTCCGAGCCTGATCAACAACAAGCACTACTGGAAACAGCAAGCGCCGAACAAGTACACTGCCTGTGTCTCTGTGTAGAAAACGTTATGAAAATAAAATATTTAATGCCGAAGCATGTGATGAAGAAACTCCGACCTTTCAAAAACGAAATGCTTAGGTTGGCAGATAGAGGAAAATGTGGAAGAAGAAAAAAACGGATACTCGTTCAACGTGGTGAAGGTTTCCTTGGACTATTACTAAGTCCTATTTTGGAAAGCCTGGCTGAACTTGTATAAAAGCCCTGTGACTACAATTTATACATCATTTCAACAATGAACATCGACAGTAAAACATCTCCGCGACATTGGCGCATTGAAGATATACTTTTGTTTCTGAACAATGATGTCAAAAAAGCAGAAAAAATTCTACATTCTATTATTATATCAATCGATATTTTAACTTGGAATCCTCAGGGGGAAATTAATTTTTTATCGTGGAAGAGACATTCGAGGTACTAACATCGAGAAACTTTTACAATACGCACTTTTACCATACAACTCTCACATTCCTGAACCACGAGGGCTCGACCTGTTTACAAAAGCCCTAGTAGAAGCAGGGATTAATAAAGATTTAATTAAAAATGAGTATTTATTGTCAAAATGGCAAAGGAGGAATATGAAATGCCGCAATCTGAGAGCGATGTTGAAAGCGAATCTGGTGAAGAGGACAGGAAATCTGATGAGTGATAATGAAAGCGAATATGATGATGATGATTGTCACAATAATGAGGAGGATGATGATGGTGATGATAATGAGGATGATGATGAGTCCGAGAAACTAGCTTGTAACCATTGTGGAAAGGAGACTGGTCACATTGTATACTTAATGAACTGTCCAAGATGTTCGTGGAAAGATTTCTACTGGGACAAAAATGCTCAATGTATGACATGTGATGAACAGTCCCCTCTACTGTTTTCGCATGTCCTTGGTTTCTGCGAGTTATGTTCGTATGGTACGTCTAACAGCAAGGCGGGTGAAATGGAGTTCACACCAAAAATGGACAAATAAAAGACCCAGCAGATTGGACCGAACGTGACCTAGCACGAATGACTCCGGAAGCAAGAGAGGATTATGAACGTTTTATATTGAGCGACAGACCAAAATATATACCAATGAAGCCGGAGAAACTTGCAAAGTTAACCCCAGAAGATAGACAAGAATATGAGAACTCTTTAAAAATAACAAAAACACCTAGACGTTACGCTCTTAGAGGTAGACCTTACTAAATTTTGTAAAACGTTTTGAAGAAATAAATGTGTTTTAAATCTAAATTCTGTGTAAATTTTTGCCCGCAAATCCACGCGTCCGCTTTTAATGTCTTACGCCCTCGTAATAAATCTATCTGCTATACGCGACTTATTCTTCCGAGATGGGTATAATTCTGCTATACATTTCGATAAAAATTTCGCCATGTGAGGGACTCGAACCCCCTTATTTTGGGACAAACCCCAATGCCATACCATTCGGCCACCAAGGCATTACAGTTTCCTTGACATAAAAATCAAATAAACTATGCTTACACCAAACACGTAATTATATCCCATTATATCCCTATCTATCCATTGGGATATACTTAGTTATGCAAATTTTTTGTTCGCCTAACCCTTAATTACCTACACGCCACCTAATGACTTAGCAACACATAACAACGCAACATTTGCAAAGTTTAAAACATGTTTATTGATACAAATAACAGACGATAGCACCAAAAAATATTACAACTAAAACTGTTTGTTAAACTGTTCTACAATTTTTTTCTCCAAGAATCCTTGATAAGCAATTTTATGATCGGCCTCAAAACTTCTAAATCGTTCACCCGTCGCCTTCACAGAATACATGTAGTAGCTCGGTGGGCAAGAGAAAAACGTTTCAGCTGCTGACTCGAGAGTGTTTTCTAATCTCCAGTGAAACAAATAGTTCAGTATACATTGTAGTTCGTGGTTCTCAGTGTTCTGATGTAGTTCCATCAATGAGTCGACAAACGTAGAATCTGGATCTTTTTCCATTTGCTGTAAATGTTCGAGTACATCTCTCTCAACCCTCAGTTTAAGTACTCTCATTCTCTCAGCGAATTCACACCAAACCATACGCTTAGCATTCACTCGTTCGATCGCTTGTAAACCATACATTTGCCATCGTTCGTTTTCGTTCATCACGAGACAGTCATGTTGCCTTTGACTGAGATGACCGACTTGACAACCATTACAGGATTCCATAACAAAGTCTTTGAACTTCATGTGCGACTGCATTCGCATATATTCCTTCCAATAAATTGTAAGATGCGGTTTTTCCATGCAGACACTTCATCGTATAGCTTTCACAGCGAAATGGCAATATAGCTATAGCAAGCGTTGTCTTTTGTACTGAAAATTCCGAGCTCTGCTTAATGACTGTTTCGGACATTTGGTCGCGGTACCTGTCATATTTGGCCCAGGCTTGCCCGCGTTAATTGGTCACGCTACCTGTCACATTTGGTCCAGGGTTAGGGTCAGCAAAGTGACGTCATATATTTTGCATATTAATTACTTCCGACACCTAAGTTTGCATACTAATTACTTCCGCCGCCAGAGTGGGGTCTTTTACTGCTGTCACATGAAAACAATAGTAATTTTGATACTGTGGCTGAGTTTTCTGGATCATGATTTGATTAATTATTGTGCAGGTGACAGCTTAAATAAGGAATTTTTAATAAGTCAGCTTAAATGCATATATCTTGTTACCTACAAGTGGTGCACATGTTAAAAAGGTGGAGGAATTCGAAGTTAGAATGAGGATGCTAAGTAAGCCCGTGGGCATGACATTTACACACTTGTACAGTAATAATAAAAATACTGGTAACTGCTGGAATGTGGAAGGTTGTTATTCAATAATTAATAATAATAATACCAGACCGTAGTACCTTTCCTCCCAGAAGAGAGTAAGGACTGATACTCCCAGTCGCAAACTACGAGTAGGAATGGGTTTATCTTTAACTCACTTAATAATGAAATTTAATGTTGGGCAGCAGGACTGCAAAATGAAGACCCCACGTCTACTAGCAGTAGCAGTAGCATCGCTGAAGTCGAAGACGATTCCTTTTTTGACAACGCTGAAAAAGATTTAAATTCCTCTATTTGCCCTGAGTCCAACCATGGTGTTACTGGTGGCAAGGACGAAAACTTCACTCCCTTGAAACTTTCCAGTTCTACTTCAGAAGCAAAGTTGGATAAAAATAAAGATCTGGTGTTTGATACGACAAGAAAGTTCCCAACCGACCGTGGTCATTTTAAGGAAAACATAACAGATTGTGATTTGAAAATACTGGTTATGCATCACGAGTCATGCAGACCGACAGGATCCTTCGAATATGAAGATGAGGAAGGGAATTCAATAGTGAATTTCAGTGCCAGATACTACAATAAGTATATTGATAATATGTCAATACAAAGACTTTGGTTATGCTATTCAGTGGAACTGCAAAAACCTTATTGCGAAGTTTGTTGGTTGTTTGCTGATCGTGCATCACCAAATTATGAAAATTATACAGGATGGATAAATGGTGTATCTGGTAGCTTGCATAATATGCTTGAAAAAATTAAGAGGCACGAATCTTGCAACATGCATATTCAGGCAACTGCAGTCTATATGAGATGGAAATCTGCCAAGACTGTGGATGAAGATAATGAGAAAGAATTAAATCAGAAACAAGTTCTTGACCAAATCAACAATAATTTTGACTCTTGCCACGCTAACTTTGGCATTTAGAGGTCACAACGAGCACGTTCATGATAACATTTGTGAAGGTGGAAACTTTCTTGGTATGGTATATCTGATGGCTCAGTACGACGAGATTCTTGCAAAAGTTATCTCACTTCCCGCCCGTGCAACAAAGTATCTTAGCCCAAAAATTCAAAACGAGTCAATAGAACTTCTAGCAAAAACAGTCACAGTTTCTTTTCAATTCAATTCAATTCAATTTAATTTTCCAAATATGTTACAATAGTTTGAACTTGATGTACTATTTAAAAAAACGAGCAGGAGTGTTTATTAGGTTTAAAGCCACGAGCGCGCAGCGCGAGTGGCTTTAGACCAGGGCGCTTATATAGAGGGCGGTGAAACGGCTATAGGCGCGCCGATCGATGTGTGATGCAATGAACTGATAACGAGTTTGTTGTGGTTACTATGGCGACGTTGTCTTATATGGCAAGGATAAATATGGCGGGAAAACTGAGCTGGAAGTTTTGACTGTTTTGTAG